TCAGGGGTCCATTTACCTTTACCTTTAAGACCTCAAAATTCCTATCACAATATCCAGAAATGAACCTGGGACTTATGCATGCAAAGCAGATGCTCTACCACTTAGCTATGGCCCTTCCCTTAACCCTCTTATGAACGTAAGAAGGGCCTTGCTGGGTCAGGAAAAAGGCCCGTCCAGTCCAGCATACAGCACAGTGGCCAACAAGAGACCTCTGGGAACCCTGCAAGCAGGACCTGACACCTGACTGCAGCTGCTCTCTCCCCACTTGTGATTCCCAGCAACTGGTATTCAGAGGCAGACTGCCCCTGACCATGGAGGTTTCATTGTCTCCTGATCTGTGTGGAGAGTGCCTGGCCTGCAAGTCCCCCACGCCCCACCTCAGTGCTCCTTCTCTCTGCATTTGCTTTGCAGCTCAGAGGCCTCAAGCCCTGAGGGGTGTGAGGTTTCGCACTGTTGTACATGCTGTTCCCAGCAAGGCTGAAGGCTGCTTGGCTGTCCTTCCTGGTTAATCCTATTTGCTTGGGGAGGATACGCAGCAAGGCTGCCTTTCCAGAAGCTAACTTGAGAAAGCAGGAGAAGCTGGGGTGGGGAAAAGATATGAAGGGGGGCAGAACACTTGCTTTGCATGCAGAAGGTCCCATGTTCAGAAGGCCCTAGGTTCAATGTCCATCATATATCCAGGGACAACTGGGAGACACTCCTGCCTGAAGTCCTGGAGAGCCACTGCGTGTCAGTGATGGCAATGCTGACTCCAAAAGACCAAAGGTCTGACTTGGCACAAGTTCCTGTTCACAGTTATGAGGACTGGAGTCTCGCTTTTATACGAGACAGTAGTTCAGTGGCTGATCATCTGCTTCAGATGCAGAAGGTCCCAAGTTCAATGCACGGGGTGGCTACCCTTGCAAAATTCAGAGAGCTGCAATTTTTGAAGGGTCACTGGGCTTTGCTTCTTATATTGTTTTGGAAATTGGGGGTGGTGGTTCGGCTTTAACTGCGAACTGAATTGAATTTCTCCCCCCACCCCACCGTCCCTAACTCTCCACCCCACCCATCTTCCTTATGTAAGAACTGTTGCTGCTGGCCAGTTTGTGTATTACACACACACACACACACAAACACAGTCAGTTGATGTAATCAGATTGCTGCCTCCAAGGCCTTTGGGGATTTGTCTTCTGCAGCTACATTCCCAAAGTGAAACATCCAGATTGTGCCATGGTCACACTAGTTTCTACACACATTCTTGCCCGCCCCTCTCTATCCTTCATCCAGTCGAGAAAAAGGCATCATCAGAGCTCAATGATACACCCCAGCCGGGGGAAAGTATGCAGGATGCAAAGCAGGGCCAGTGAGGGCTATGTCCTGAAGAGAGAGGGTTTGTATTGGGGGCAGGTGTGTGTTGACTAAGGAGACTCTAGGTTTTGTAGAGTGGGCATGTGGCCTGGGGAGAGGGAGAAGAAGAGGAAGAGAAGAGTTTGGATTTGATATCCCGCCTTTCACTCCCCTTCAGGAGTCTCAAAGCGGCTCACATTCTCCTTTCCCTTCCTCCCCCACAACAAACACTCTGTGAGGTGAGTGGGGCTGAGAGACTTCAAAGACGTGTGACTGGCCCAAGGTCACCCAGCAGCTGCATGTGGAGGAGCGGAGACGCGAACCTGAGGGTACAGTGGTACCTCTGGCTAAGAACGTAATTCGTTCCAGAGGTCCGTTCTTAACCTGAAGCTGTTCTTAACCTGAGGTACCACTTTAACTAATGGGGCCTCCCGCTGCCGCCGCGCCACCACCGCACAATTTCTGTTCTCATCCTGAAGCAAAGTTCTTAACCCGAGGTACTATTTCTGGGTTAGCGGAGTCTGTAACCTGAAGCGTCTGTAACCCGAGGTACCACTGTATTTCCTTTGGGGAAGAGGTGTGTCTTGGAGAGAGGGTGTGTGGTCTGGCTGGAGGAGGTGTGACCTGGGGAGAGGGGTATGGACTGGTGAAGTGTGTGTGCATCTCGGGGAGAGTTCTGTGGGCCAGATGGAGAGGTCTGGAGGCCTGTATTCTGTCTGTCAGGCCTGAAGCTTCCCAACCCTACTCTAACATATCAAGGATGTAGAAGCAGCTATCAAGTGTGGTATGGCGGTCAGCGGTACTGGAGCAGGACAGGGGGTTGTAGGGAGAAAAGAAATGCTAATTGTCCACTTCATTGCTGAAGTAGTACCATGACTGTAAAGGCCTCCCCTTCCCTGAATAGAATAGTAAACGTTCAAGGTCTAAAATTACTTAGTTGTCCCACAGAGTGTACATAACTGGCAAATTATTCTCCGTAAACCCGGTTTGGGGATTGCCTTGTTAAAATGCTGTTAGTGTGATGACTTGCAAGCAGTTTTGGTGCCTCGGGTTCTTCCTAAAAGTTAAATCTTGGGCAGTGGTGGCAGTGATAGAGGAATGGATGCTTCTTGTTCCCATTGCACAGACATATAAAACCAGATGCGTGATGGGCGTTAAGACATTATATCAGAGGCTCACGACTTTACCCTGCCACTTCACCAAAATGATTTTATACAACTGTGAATGGTGCAGAGAAGAGCGATTGGGATGGTGGGACATCTGGTGGGCAACTGTGAGACCAGGATGCTGGACTCAGTGGGCCCCCTTTGGCCTGATCCCGCATCAGGACTCTTCCTATGTTGTTACGTTTTGGAGTGGTGGTTGCTTGTTCTCTGAAGAATTTGTAAAAGAAAAAAGAAGCCCTTCATGCTTCTAGTCCACAAAAAGACAGCAGGATCCTGTGCAAAAAGACTCCATTGTCACAGAGGGAGACAATTAGGAAGGAAACAGGCAACCCAGAGTGGGGGATAGCTGCCCCCTAGTATGGTTTTGCTGGTTGGCGCTGATGGGACTTGTAGTCCAAAACATTTGGAGACTATCAAGTTTATGAGGTCTGGTTTATTATGTCCCCTACCAAGTTAAAGATGAACAGGATGATGACTCCTTGGTTTTAAATTTTGGGTGGGCGGGCAGGCGGAGCCAGCATTGCCTGACAATGTTGTTATCTACAGTTCAAAACACACCTCAACAGCTGCAGGGTATGTGAAACGGCAGACTGTGCTTCATGTTCACGTACACACATTATTTACCTTTGTGTGCCTTTAATGTGGAATACACATCCACTTTCCCGCTTTGAGATTTAGGCCCCATCTGCACCATACAGTATCATAGCGCTTTAAACAGTTATGGTTTCCCCATAAAACCTTGGGAATTGTAGTTTGTTAAGGGTACTGAGCAATGGAGAGAGAGAGAGAGGTGCCAGTACGCACCATGAAGTTGTTACAGTAAGTACCACACTTTTAACATTTGGGTGAAAAAGGTACTGGTGCTGCATACCCTTTAGTACCCCCCCCCAAACCACTGAATTGCTAGGCAACCCCATATTCCCCTCACAGAGCTGTAATTCCCATAGTTTCCTTGTGAAGAAGGTTTGGTTGTTAAAGCACTCTGAAGTTGTAGCTCTAGGATAGGGCTCAGCAACCTTTTTCAGCCGTGGGCCGGTCCACCGTCCCTCAGACCATGCGGTGGGCCAGACTATTTTTTGGGGGTGGGGTGGGGGAATGAACAAATTCCTATGCCTCACAAATAACCCAGAGATGCATTTTAAATAAAAGCACACATTCTACTCATGTAAAAACACCTGGCAGGCCCCACAAATAACTCAGAGATGCATTTTAAATAAAAGGACACATTCTACTCATGTAAAAACACACTGATACCTGGACCGTCCACGGGCCGGATTGAGAAGGCAATTGGGCCGGATCCGGCCCACGGGCCTTAGGTTGCCTACCCCTGCTCTAGGAAGAGGAATAAGGGTCTCGGAACAACTCTCAGCACCCATAACAAACTACACTTCCCAGGATTCTTTGGTGGCAAGAGGGGGAGCCACGATCATGAAAGTAGCACGATATTGCTTTATATGTATAGGGCAATGGGATCAAAATCAGGATGAACGCCCATTGTCCTATAACAATGAGCCAATGCATAAAATGGTTAGTGTTGGACTAGGACCCAGGAGACCAGGATTCAAACCCCCACTTGGACAACCTTGGGCCAGTCACTACCTGACCTCACTCACAGGGTTGTGGTGGGAATTAAATGCGGTTGGAGGGGGGGGGGACCCTGCACACTAGTTTGAGCTCCTTGGAGAAAAAGGTGGGAGATCAGTAATGTAACGTAACGTAATGTAACGCAACAACATTCTTGCAAACAAATCAGAATAGATGCTCAGTAAAAAGGGGGCATCATATGAGAGCCAGTGTGGTGTAGTGGTTAGAGTGTCAGACTAGGACATGGGAGGCCAGGATTTGAACCACCATTCAGCCATTAAGTTCACTGGATGACAGTCACCGCCTCTCAGCCTAATTTACGGCACAGGGTTGTTGCGGGGATTAATTGAGGAAGGGAACAACCACATATTGCCTTTAATCCTGACATTGCACAGCCCAACGTCCTTTCCTCTGACAGTGGCCGTTTCCCCAAGATACCCTACATGATATACTACTCATTTTGCTTGTGCATGCCTTGGACACCCTCAGGCCAAAACCCTCTTGACGAACCACAACATTTGCAAAGGGCAAAAGTTCGGCATTGTCGAGCTGAGATTTGATCCTGGAGGAGGAGCGGCGGCAGCAGCTCTGGGCCGGTTCCAGCCTTGGTGTGGGGCTTCCCAGTTTTTTGTAGGGATATGGAAATAAACTGAGGTTGAGGGGAGTCAAAGGGGGGTGGGGAGAGAGAAGAAAGCCTTGAAGCACACCAACATGTGCACACCACACAACCTCTGTTTTACTTGGGAGGGGGGGGGAGAAAACCCTTCCTTAATGTTGTGGGTTTTTCATGTGCATGCAATGCTTGGCCTGACTCCAGGCTGAAGCCTGGCCCCGCCACCAATGGAGGCTGCTCCCAGCCAAGGGGGCTGGAGGAAAAGAGAAAGGGGGTGGGAGGTGGGGAGAGGGGGAGAGAGAGAAGGAAGGAGGGACAGAGGCTAAAGGAGACAGCAGCTTTTTCTTTCCCGCCTCTCTCCCTCTTTTAACACACATATACAGAAATCTCTTTTCCATGGCCTCCGTCAGGGTGTTGCCATAGAAACTGTAGTGACAAAGGCAAGGAAGTCTCCTGGGCCTGTGTGTGGAAGGACTGGAGGGAGAGAGAAGGAGGAGTCTGAGCCACAAGTTTGAGCGGATCTCCAAACTGCTGGAAAAGTTGCTTGCGAAGCGGGGTGGTGTTGGGAGAGATGCTGGGAAGCCCAGCGCAGCGGAATCCATGGCAGTAGGAAGGCTGGGATTGCTATGGCGGTGGAGGCAGCTGCGGCAGCTGCACAAAGGCTAGGCCTGTCAGGTAGGGCCCTTCTCTGCAACTCTGGTCAGCCCCCTTTGAAAATTCTCCTGCATGCTTTCTCTTTTGTTCGGGCTCGAGACAATATTGGCTGCTTGCCCTCTTTTCCTGGAGCCACTGAGGCCCAGCTGTGCCCTCTTGTGCTTCCTGGCTGTGGAGGGAGGGGACTCAGCTGGGTGCCCTGGCCACAGCAGGCAGGAGTGGGCAACGCAGAGGCCAGGAGGGGCGCAAGGATGCTTCGCGTTTCCCCTGGGAGGAGGGAAAGGGGTGTCGGCGTCCTCGCTTTGTGTGTGGGGAAGATGGATCAGGCTCTTTTATTTTCGGAAGGGCAGGAACTGGTGTGCTTCGAGTGTGCAGGAGATGCGCAGCGTTCTCTCGGTCAAACAAGAGCAGGAAATGCATGACGTTCTCTTCTCACGTGAGGAGAGCCGATGTGCAATGTGTTTTTTGGTGAAAGTGTACCATGTTTTCTTGCAACAAAAGCAGGCCTTGGCCTTTGAACATAAGGCACGCAGAAGCATTGGTGACGTTTGGGGAATCAATACGCAGCATGTGCATGCCATGATGATAGTGATGAGCATGATCCACTTTCTTGCTTTTTGAAACGGTCTGGATGACACATGGGTGGCTATGCTGTCATAAATCCATCATTTCTGCTTGCCCAATTAATTTCTAATCCACATTTATGCCCCTCCTCCCACATGTCTACATTGGTGGGGAATCTGAGGGCTGGGGCCCTCTTGTGGCCCTCCAGGTCTCTCTATCAGGCCCTAGGAACTATTTCCAGGCCAAGTGTTCTTGACTAGCTGGAATATGTGCTTGAGCTCTGATCATGCTTCTTGCTTGCCTGGATTGAGGTTTTGGAGAGGCGTGTGAGAGTGTGTAGAACCTTGTCTACTGTACAAAGGTTGGTTTTTTTTTTTGCATTAATTGCCCCTGCTTTTTGCCTCTGGCCCTATCCCCCAGTGGCATGAAGCCCCTGAAAAGTTGTGCAGAAGGGAATGCCATACCCCATTTGGCTTGAAGAAGTTTCTTCACCCCTGGCTTACAAGTTGAAAAGCTACCTCTGCTCCATTTCTTAACTGGCAAACATGGAGCTTCTGCCATGATAAGAGTCCCTTTAGCCTAGCTGAAAATACTTGCCTCCACTTTGACCTCCCTTAATCCCGGAAATGGCCTGTCTGGTGTATTGCATCTGTGCTTGACTTCCCACATGGTGGTGCCACTACTTGGAGCTGCCCAACTCGTGTTGTACATTACATTTATTGCTCCAACCACTTTTGTTTCTGGCCCTGCCCGCCACTGGCTTACAGCCCTGGGTGGTCATCCAGAAGGCATTGTGGCCCTCTGGCTGAAAAAGCCAGCACTCTCTTGGCAGGTGAAATATGTGGGCCCAACTCAGCCGATTCCAAACTGGGGAGAAATCTAGAGATGTGGGCAAAGGGGTGGAATGAGGCAGAACAAATAACAAGCATCCTTTCGTCTGTGGAGGGTGCACCAGGCTGTGGGAAGTGGGCAGGAGCTTGTGCGGATCTAGTCACTCCACCAAGGTTTTGAGAGAGGAGCAGGAGGTGGGCAGATGCTGAGGGGCCCACTTCCTCCTCGAAACAGCTCCCTGCAGAGGACTTGGAGGAGGGGTGTGTTGTGTGCTATCAAGAGTGGTGCGCATGTAGCAATGTTTTGAGTGTGCAAGAGCATGAGCACCAGGAGCCTTGCATGTGCAAGGGCACACAAGAGGCAGTGCACACGTATGCAACAGAATGAGAGATGAGACAAGAATAAGTGAGTGGCTTCTCTCCAGCATGGAATGGGTGCCTTTGCCCCCACCCCTCCCGCCAACTCAAGGTTCAAGCAGCTGTTCTGTCTCCTCTTCTCCTAGCCCGCCTCTTTCTTTCTGTGATGGGCTCCCAATGTTTCTGTTCATCCAATGGCTGTGGTGGATTTTTTTTAATGTACATTTTGCCAGCTGTTAGCAATTAGCAACTAGATCCACCCCGGGCCCCCGGCGAGGAGATCTTAACACTTTCATGAGCTCTCCGTCTGGACAATTTGGGCTGCTTCTGGTTTCACCTTCCTATCTGTGCTTGGGCATAAGTGAGGAGGTTCGGGACAAATGTGTATTACCGATGGGAGGGATGCAAAGGAATCCCATTACATTGAAAAGGGTGGGAAGGAGTTAGGGCTGCTAAACCCAGCCCCCACCCCCTAGCACAACTTTTGCAATCAGCACGGACTGGGGTAGGAATCTTCTGGAGCCTTGTTGTCTAAGGGGATCAATGGCCTGCCTCAATATGAGGCAGCTTCCTGACTTCCTCCGAAAGAGAGAGTCTGTACATGTTTATGAGGACTTAAGAACAGCCTTGTTCAAAGATTTAAATCTTTCAGAGAAGTGTTTGTGGAAATCATGTTAAATTCTTCAGTGCAGCAGATTTTTATTTGGCGGAACGCACAGTTTTAATAATTATATTGCCTGTCATGTATTTTGTTTTGTTTTATGTATCTTGGCTTCGGCTACATAAGTAAATAAGTAAACCCTACCCTGGAGGGCTGCTACAAGTCAGTGTAGACAATATAGAGCTAAGTGGATGAATGGTCTGACATGGTACAGTATAAGGCAGCTCCCTATGTTCTTATAACCTGGAAATATTTTTAAATAAAAATTCACCTTGGAGGTATTCTATGAATGCGTGCTTCCTGACAACTATTTTATTGATCAACCGGATCTGTTTCTGGGCAGATTAGATTAAGTTGGCTATTTAATGAGCATTCATCCTGCTTTGCTTGTAGGAAGGTTAGCTGATGGCATGTGAAAGCAGTGCCTCCCTAACATTCCAGTACATTTTCCCGTCACCTTCCTTATCGCAAAAAGTCAAGGTTTTTTTTGGGGGGGGGGAGTGACCTCCCAATCATACTGAATTTCCCAGTATGTGACTGAATCCTACCCCAAAATAGCAAGTCCGAACATGCCCAATGAAACACTCAAGGGTCAGCACCTATGATAGCCAGCTAGCCCACCCCTATGATGTTTTCTTGCCTTTGCAACCCTTGGATAATTTGCATACAATTTACATGCATGATTATCCCTGTCATATAAGATAGTAAACTTGCATGCCCTGGGTCCATAAATCTCTATTTACTTAAAGAGTTGGCCAGGGGTGAATGCAGATCTTGAACCAAAAAAAAAACACCACAAACACAACCAAAAACAGTTAGACACCGCTTTTATATCACCATAGGTACACATCGCCTGAAAATCTAGCTGCAAGCCAATCACGTCTTTCTTCCTTTTCTCAGAGATCTGAATGGCAGTGACTGGCGGCCAGGGAGGACCGCCCGACTAACTCCGCGGGCTGTGGGCATCGTCTCCCACATCTCCAAGGATGCTCTGCTTGCCACTCCTCCTGCTCGCCAGCCTCTCTTGTTGCTCCAGCTCTGAAGTCAACCCTGGTAGGAAGCTCTTGGTGTGTTGTTAAATTGTTGGGTGAGCCATCCCAGTCTCTGTACCCCAACAGCCAGGGACTTCTGGGTTCCTGCATGAGACTCTCAGGGAAAAACAGTCTGTCAATTTCAGTATCCATTGTAATTTTCAGCTCTCCACATCAGTCTGTGGTTGCTGTTTTTTAAAAGCCCTCAATAAAATTCATTTGCATCTTAACACTATTTCCTCCATTTTTAAAATTGCAATTTGGCCTATAAAACATTTGCAAGGAAGTTTCCCTCAATTTTGTGCTATTTTCAGGATTGAATGCATTTCTATGCACACTTACACCCTGGCATCTGAATTTTTTGCACACATTATTTGACAAGAACTGCACTGCAAAATTCAGAAGAGTGCGAATTTTGAAGGATGGCTGTGTTTTAGTTGCCATCTTCTTTTGGAAAATACAGATTATGTTGCCATGCCTCTCGGTGCAAACTTAATTTCTTCCCCCATCCTACCCTCAGTGCTAGCTGCTGTGTTTTATAACAAAATGTGAGGCCGTAGCACAGCTTGTATGAGACAGAAATTGGGGTGATACTGCGGCATTTGGGACTTTGATTTAGAGGGGGAAAACGAGTAAGAGGTGATGTGATAGAAGGTTATACAATGGGGCATGGCATGGAGAAAGTGGATAGAGGAAAGTTTTTCTCCCTCTCTCAAAACACTACTACATTGTGGACATTCAGTGAAGCTGAATGCTGGAAGATTCAGGATAGATAAAAGAAATAAATTCATAGAGTGCATAGTTAACTTCATGGAGCTCACTCCCACAGGAGGCTGTGATGGCCCCCAACTTTGATGGCTTTCAAATAGGATTGGACAAATTCATGGAGGATGTACAGGTGAAACTCGAAAAATTAGAATATTGTGGAAAAGTTCCTTTCTTTCACTAATTCACCTTCAAAGGTGAAATTAATATATGAGATAGACTCATGACATGCAAAGTGAGATATATCAAGCATTTATTTGTTCTACAGGTGAAACTCAAAAAATTAGAATATCGTGGAAAAGTTCCTTTATTTCCGTAATCCAACTTGAAAGGTGAAACTAATAAATGAGATAGACTCGTGACATGCAAAGCGAGATATGTCAAGCCTTGATTTGTTATCATTGCGATGATCACGGGGTACAGCTGATGAAAACCCCAAATTAACCATCTCAGAAAATTAGAACATTCAAGGAAATCAGCAAAACAAGGATTGCAAATCGAGCAAGATTGGACCTCTGAGAAGTAGAAGCAGATCTCGCTTTGCATGTCATGAGTCGATCTCATATATTAGTTTCACCTTTGAAGCTGAATTGCTGAAATAAAGGAACTTTTCTACGATATTCTAATTTTTCGAGTTTCACCTGTAGCTATCAGTGAATACCAGTGACTAGAAACCACAAGAAGGGAGAGCGCTTTTTTGCTCATGTCCTGCTTGCAGGCCTCCCATTGGGGAATCTGGTTGGCCACTGTGAGTGCTGGGTGCTGGATTAGATGGGCCGTTCTCTTCACCTGATCCAGCAGACTCTTCTTGCCTTCTTAGGCAGCAGCTGGGATCAGAAGTGCCGGACTCATGCCAGGTCATGGGGCAATTGGAAGTTCAGGCACTGGAACAGGCAGGCTGCAGCTCCCATCATCCCTGACCATTGGCTATGCTAGCTAGGGCTAATGGGAGCTTGAGTCCAAACCTTTGTAGGATACAAGGCTGGGGAAGACTGGCCTAAGTAAGAGGTGACAAAGTGTAGACAAGCTTGTTTTGGTTTCTGCCAAGGGGATAGAGAGGAAGGGCTATATTTTTGCAATGTTGTAAAGGAGTGGTAGCCAGCATGATGACGTTGGACTCCGAAACAGCCAGCAAGGGCGAGGGCCAAGGCTGTTGGGAGTTGTAGTTCACAGCCACTGAAAGGGACTGTGTTTGGCTATGTTTCTTGTAAAAGGTGACCTGACCTGACTTGACAGTGGACGTAATATAGGTAACAAAAGGAGAAGAGGAGTTAAGATAAAGGCAAGGCTAGTGTGCCTGTTCTATGCCTTTCATTTTGAAATTTGCAACTGCATATGCAAGTTTTTAAAATTGCATCAATATATTGCATTAATTAATAGTTTTTAATTGTATTTATATTCAGAATACAGTGGTACCTCAGGTTACAGACGCTTCAGGTTACAGACTCCGCTAACCCAGAAATAGTACCTTGGGTTAAGAACTTTGCTTCAGGATGAGAACAGAAATCGTGCAGCAGCAGCGGGAGGCCCCATTAACTAAAGCGGTACCTCAGGTTAAGAACAGTTTCAGGTTAAGTACGGACCTCCAGGACGAATTAAGTTCTTAACCCGAGGTACCACTGTAGTTCTTAATTGCATTTATATATACCGTATTTTTCGCTCTATAGGGCGCACCTGATCATAGGGCGCACCCAATTTTCAGAGGGGGAAATCAAGGGGAGGGAAATGATCCCCGCCCCCAGCTCTGGGAGCAGCGGACAGGCTGCACGCAGCCTGTGCACTTCTCCCAGACCTCTTCCCTGCTTTTGTGGGAGGTGGGGGAATTCCCCCATCTCCCGCAAAAGCCCACAGGAGGGAGAAGGGACTGACTGGGCCACTCAGTCCCTTCTCCCTCCTTGGGGAAAAGTCCCCAAGAGCGGCATGCTCTTTAAAGGCTGCACGGCTCCTGCAGGCTTTTTTAGGAGGTGGGGGAATTCCCCCACCTCGTAGAAAAGCCCGCAGAAGCCCGCAGCCTTTAAAGAGCGTGTGGCTTTTGCAGGAGGCGGGGGAATTCCCCCATCTCCCACAAAAGCCCACAGGAGCCGTGCACCCTTTAAAGAGTGTGCGGCTCCTGCGGGCTTTTCCACCGAGCTTGTGGGGCTGGTGGGGGGGGGGAGCACTGCTTTCCCCCACCGCCAGCCTCCAAACCAGGTCCAGGAGCAGCGCGAAGGCATCGCGTGCCTTCCCGCTGCCCCCCGAGAATGTGGGGCTGGCGGTGGGGGGAAGCGCTGCTTTCCCCCACCGCTAGCCTCAAAGACAGACTCTCCTGGCTTCAGCAAAAGCAACACGAAGCCTCTGGAGCGCAGGCTTCGCGTTGCTATTGCTGAAGCCAGGGAGCCTGCATTCGCTCCATAGGACGCACACACTTTTCTCCTTAATTTTTGGAGAGGGAAAAGTGTGTCCTATAGAGCGAAAAAAAGGGTATACAGTATATTACTTTTAATGTTTGCACATATATTCTTCCATATGGGATTATTTCAAATTGTTTTTAGTGGTGTTTTTATGGTGACATTGCCTCGGGATATTTTATGGGAAGCGGTTCATAAATGGAATAAAATCAATTAAATAAAGTAAATGCGGGAGAATGAACAAGGAGGGCAGGGTTTGGCAGGAAAGATGAGAGGGTTGGTTGACAACAAGGGTGGGGAAACATTTTTGGCTCCATGGGCCAGATGCTTATCAGGATCTAGCTTCACAGGCCAGATTTGACTGTGGGGTAAAGCTCTGAACCCCGTTTTCTTGCAACCTTCTTAAAATGTGGTGCCAGAAATGGACAGTCTTGGCAATGCAGGACAGGAGAGTGAGAGGAAGTTCTGGGGTGGCAATGTAGGGCTGGGTGGGAGTTACCAGCCTATTAGTGGCGCTGGAAGCCATAAGGATATATTGATGTTACCCGGGGACTATCTATAAGTGAAGAAAGCAGGCCAAGTATTGAGTTTTCACTGGCCCCTCAGCTCTGTCAGGATCTGGCATGGTTTGGCAGCCCCAGATGGAAGAAGACAAAGGAGGAGGAGCAGATGGAGGGCTGGAAAGCTGGCCCCCAGGGATTGAGGTGAGAGGGAGGACCTTGCCTTGTGCCTCTAGATGTCAAAGAGGGAGAAGCAGAACTGGTGGCTCTCTTCTCCGCCTGTCTGAGAGCCAGTGTGGTGTAGTGGTTAAGAGTGGTGGACTCATAATCTGGTGATCCGGGTTCGCGCCTCCACTCCTCCACATGCAGCTGCTGGGTGACCTTGGGCCAGTCACACTTCTTTGAAGTCTCTCAGCCCACTCGCTTCAAAGAGCGTTTGTTGTGGGAGAGGAAGGGAAAGGAGATGTTAGCCGCTTTGAGACTCCTTCCGGTAGTGATAAAGTGGGATATCAAATCCAAACTCTTCTTCATTGGAGAGGAGGATCTGTTCCTTGCTCTCAAGCAAAAGCTGCTATGGTCATGATTTGGGATGGGAGCCTGACAAATGCGGCCTTCATAGGATTGGCACCCTTTCCATCTTGTTTGGTGGAGGGAGTTCTGGTGACTGGCTTTCAAATGCTTGGTTTGAAGGAATTATAAGAGTTATAATTATAAGAGTTAGAAGGGAACTCAGAGGCCATGTAGCCTGACCCCTGATCAAGGCAGGAATCGTGCTGCCACAAGGGGAGCGGGGAACCTCAAGTTTGGGCCCCAAAAGTGGCCCTTTTTGGGGCTCTTCCCAAGCTCCTGCCCCCATTCCTCGAAGGCCCTGCTCTGCTCTCTGCTCAAAGAGCTTTTGCCTGCTTTTGAACTGCAGTTATGCCTCTTGCTTGCATGGATAGCAGACTGTGAGATGTGTGCAGGGTTGGCTGCATGTAGAAACCTCTGGCTTTTACTGTAAAGAGTTAGGAGCCACACCTGTTGCTCCAGCCACTGGCACATAGCCCTCAGAAGGTGTCACATGAGGGAATGTGACCCTTGGGCTAAAAAAGGTTCCCCACCCCTGAACTGCAGCCCCTCTGACAAGGCAATTTAGCAGGGCAATTTGTGTGCTCTCGTGACTTCACAGTACCCAAGGAGGCATTTATTGGCGACTCTGCAACTTCAGAAGGTGTTATGTGGAGAATGGGCCCAGGGCAGTGGCAAGCGGTCAATTAAAGCAGTGCTACTCCCAGTGTTGTTAACCTGAGCCCATCCCCCCCACCCACCCACCCACAATGAATCAATCCTGAGCAGTGATAAAATGAAAGTGGATCCTGTAGAGTGATAACCGGGCATATCTCTGCTTTCTTAAAAGTTCTCTGCCTTTATGCTAATGTGACCATTTTGCCTCCTGTCCCCTCCCTCCCTGAGAGCCAGTGTGGTGTAGTGGTTAAGAGAAGTGGACTCATAATCTGGTGAACTGGATTCGCTTCCCCGCTCCTCCGTATGCAGCTGCTGGGTGACCCTGGGCTAGTCACACTTCTCTGAAGCCTCTCAGCCCCACTCATTTCACAGAGTGTTTGTTGTGGGGAAGGAAGGGGAAGGAGAATGTTAGCCGCTTTGAGACTCCTTAGGGTAGTGATAAAGCGGGATATCAAATCCAAACTCCTCCTCCTCCTCCTCTTCTTCTTCTTCTTCTTCTTCCCTCAGCGATATGCCGATACCCTCTGGGGATGCATGAAGGGACCATCCGAGATGAGGACATCACTGCTTCCAGCCAGTGGTATGACTCCACGGGGCCTCAGTATGCACGGTGAGCAGGATGACCTGTGGGGCTTAGCTTCAGGGCAAGCGATAAAACAAAGCAGAACTAAAAGAAAAAATCCAGTACAGACTGGGAAATACCTCTTGCTGTTGAAAGAGGGAGCTATTCAGCAGCTGCCAGAGAGACAACAGAGATTATACCTGTCATAATATTTAACAGGAGGGAATTCCAAAAGGTTGCTGTTATACCAAAGGTTCCTATATTGTGCATAACAACCTCCTGGAAAAGCATTTCTCTCCTGCAGAGCACAGTGATCAATCACATATATAATGGATGGACCAATCTTTCAGATATTCTGGTCCCAAGCTGTATGGGGCTTTATACAACAGAACCAACATCTTGAACATAACTTGGTAGCTAATTGGCAGCCAGTGCATTTTTTTCCCCAGCAGCACTAGAGCATGGTGGTGATATCCTGCCCCAATGAGCACTCAAGCCACGGCATGTTGCACTGGCTGCAGCTTCCAGACCAATCTCAAAAGCAGCCCCACATAGAACACATGAATTCTGTGCTCAGGCTGGCCTTGCATGTTCTTCCCACTTTCATACCTGATCTTTGAGCTGTGACGTTATTTTCCTCTCTCTATCTCTCAGGTTGCTGAGAGAAGAGGGTGATGGGGCATGGTGTCCGGCGGGTCTCCTGCAACCTGAAGATGTGCAGTTTCTCCAGATAGACCTACATAAACTCTTCTTCATCACACTGGTGGGGACGCAAGGTCGGCACGCCCGGGCAACTGGGAAAGAGTTTGCCCGTGCCTATCGGATTGACTATAGCCGCAACGGGGAGCGATGGCTCTCTTGGAAAGATCGTCAGAACAAGCAGGTGGGTGAGATGCGGTCAGGACATCTCTGAAGAAGAGTGACGAGCCCTTGAAAATCTTCAAAAGTTACTAAACCTCATTAAAAATAATTATTAGGTCACCTATCCAGGTGACCTCCAAACTCTCTCTCCAAAATTCTTTAACTTCAGCCCTTGAACTCCTTGTCGCACTCGGTTCAGACCATTCTCTGGATCTGTTTCTGGTTGAAAATTTGTCAGCGGATGCCAAGGTATTTACTTTGAAGCATAGGAAACTGCTTTATACTGAGAGCACTGGCCTATTTTGCTCAGTGTTGTCCAAACTGACTGGCAGTGGCTCTCCAGGCATAACCCTGGGTGGGTGGGTGGGGGTGTGCAATGTCTCTCATATTTTTCCCCCCATGTAACATTTTTACAGATCAGCTTCATTTATTGAGACATTAGGAAGAAAAGGGGGAAAGAGGGTGGGAAGATGGGGGGTGGGGGTGGGATTGGGTGGCGATGTTTCTATTTTACTTACTATATGTAGGGTTTGGTGTCAGCGTTGCTTGTGCAGGTTCTTTGCTGTTCACTTGTGTTCCTTTGGTGGTGAGAGAGGTTGGGGTTGGCCTAGGGTGTGGTTGTTTGTTTGTGGTTGGCTGTGGTGGTCTTTGTTTTCATGTGTGAGTGGGGGTGGGTGATAACCCTTGTTTTGATGCAACCATCATCTAACCTCCCTGCATACAAATCAGGTGGAATGCTCGTTAAATAGCCAACGTCATCTAATCCCCTTGCAAACCAGTCGGGGAATGCTTGATAAACAGGCTGTGTGGTAGCAAATTAGGGCTGGTGAGGGGTGTGGCATGGTTGGAGTCCTTAGGGCCAGATAGAGGGGCCCAGAGGACCACATTTAACCCCTTGGCCTGTGATTCTTCATCAGTGCTCTAGTGTTTGCTGCTTATCAGATGCTGATTGCACAATAGCCTTATCACGACCTCTTTCCAATCCAGGTGATTCAAGGCAACACTGACACATATGACGTTGTCCTGAAAGACCTTCGCCCGCCTGTCATTGCCCGCTACATCCGAGTGATCCCAGTGACTGAGCAGCCCATGACTGTCTGCATGCGGGTGGAACTCTATGGTTGTGTTTGGTCTGGTAAGGACTTGAACTTCAGCAAGTCCCCGATAAGGCGGCAGGGAGTTCTGGTCGTGGGACCCTCGTGTTTGTAACTCTCTGTATCAGCTGTCCTCCTCCCAATGTCCTCCAGATATTTTGGACTATTAATTCCTATTAGCCCTGGCCAGAATAGCCCCAACAGTCAGGGATGATGGGGGTTATTGTCCAAAACATCTGGAGGGCACCATCTTGAAGAAGGCTGCTCCATATATTACGTTGAAGTGGAGATGCTTGCTGGGTTCCTTCTTCAGCGGCACCACTGGTCAGAGTCCCAACTCGCACTATATAGCTGCTGACTCTGGTCTAGATCCAGAACACTGAGCAAATCATTGCTCGGGTATCGATTGAGCTGCCACCAGAAGGCTCATTCCTGCTGCCTGGCTTGAAAGCCTGCTTGTTTTCTGCCTTGGCCACTTGTGGCCAAGAAGAGATGGGAAGAAGACCCTTGCTCCTCTTGCTCAGGTAGGTTGTGCAGGCAGAGGGCTCAAAAGCCTCCAACTGACCCCTGGTTGTCTCCTTCCCTAGATGGTTTGGAATCCTATAGCATGCCTGAGGGGGAGATGATTGCAGCTCCTGGCCACCCCATCGTTTACCTGAACGACTCAACCTATGATGGTTATCAGGAGCGTAGGTAAGAAGCGCCCTGCGTGGGTGGGTGAAACATCCTTTTCTCCCTCAGTTCTCTAAAACAGGGATGGGGAACCTTTTTCAGCCTGAAGGCCACCTTCCAAACTGGGCGATGGAAGGAGATCAGTGCCTGGGATTTTTTGGGTGCTCAGAACAGGCGTTAAATAGCTGGACAGCGGGTGGACTGCACTCAAACTATGACAACAAAAATTGTGTGACGCAACGAAGCTGCATTTCGCAATCTGCGTAACAGATCGAGAAAATATGCATATATGTTTTGCATAACTTATTTGACCTCTATTAGTCACAGGGGAGAGCAAATGTGTCAGGCTGCAGCCACACTGTCCAGCCACTGGAAACCTTAGGGCTAAACTGTGTGTGCTGTTAATGGTGGGAATGCAGTTAAAAAGTACATTTTGTTGTCCTGTAAATGGCACCCAAGGGAAATCTTAAGCAGCCCCAGGACTAATGAGAGTGAGCGGGGAGGTGGTGTTGGTGGGGGAGAGGTTAGCTCTTTCTCTCACTGCCTCAGGCGGTCTCAACAGAAATCTCTTTTCTCTGAAGTTGCTTTTCATTTCAAGAGACACTTCGCTTGGTTTGCACCAACAGAGCTTCTGATAGGGCATCTTTTGGTCAGGGGCACGACAGGGAGAGAAAGGGCACCTCCAGAGTGGTGTTTTTCGTTCTTAAATGTGGGTGTATTCTGCAGTGTGCCATTGATGGTTTAATAGAGTATTTGTGCTAGATTTATACGGGACTGTCCACATACCATTCTGCTGTATGAGTTGTTCCATGATGCTTCCCCAACATTGCTGCACTATTGCCATCCGGTGGGGCACTCTTGTGCCATGACACAACAAAAGCGGGGCACCCCACTCCGAACATTTGTGGTATGCAAAGGGGCAGGATTTCAGCAGGAAGTAGCAGGACATGTACCAGTTGGAAATGAAGAAACATTCACAGGCCCATCGAGAGCATCAGTCATCATGAATGTACACTAAATGAGCTCTTGGCAGGCCCAATGAGTTAAATTCCTCTTTTCCCTCCAGCTGATATTTGCATAGCAAAAAAGATAATGCACATTCATTTTCTATGCATGCAATTTAACAACCCATTTAGCTTTGCCCTTATCTAGCTACTTCCCTCTAAGCAGTGCTTGCCCCCCTAGAAAAATAGGTACCGGTACTCACCATGAAGTTGTTACAGTAAGTGCTACACTTTTTAACAACAACAAAAGCGGTGCTGGTACTGCATACCCTTGAGTACCCCCTGGGAAAAAGCCACTGTCTCTAAGTGTATTTTGTCCGCTTTCTTAACCCTCTCATCTCCCCTCCTTTTAACGAAAGCTGATCATTCGGCAGAAAGGCCTGGCATGTCTTTGAAGACGGCACCTCTCAGTCTAGGGATGCTCCTTGCTGGCGTGTAACCGCAAATGCTCTCTTGCCAGGCTCCTGCATGGTGGGTTGGGCCAGCTGACAGATGGCGTCCTGGGCTTGGACGATTTCACCAAGAGCCACCAGTACCGCGTGTGGCCAGGCTACGACTACGTTGGCTGGAAGAACGACAGCTTCAGCAGCGGTGCTGTTGAGATGGAGTTCCAGTTCGATCGGCAAAGGAACTTCACATCCATGAAGGTATGTCTGGAGATCACTGAGATAACTGGTCAATGGATACATCCATCTTTGATGTTGGTGTTGCTAAATACGTTTCTAGACAGAAGTTTAGATCTCATCCATAAAGTGCTGCTGAGTCGTTTACTGTTGGCTGCCTGAGCTCAGAACTGATGGACACTACGGAAAGTTTCTATCATCCAGTGGTACCGAAAGGCTTGGCTATGTGCTATTTTAGAGAAATTAACACAAAAACTAAAGGCAACCAGGGCACAAAAGATAAAGAACTCATTTGAGAAAACACAGAAATAAGAAAAATGCCTGCTCTCTGCCTCCAATGTACCCTAACACTAGTGGACCTTTTGATTATATCTTCACCTCAGAACCCTGTAACCCATATACTGTATATATATGAAAAAGAAAGAGGTAAGATAAATAATAAATAAATAAGGTTACCCATATGTATAGTTATTGAACTGTCTTAAGCCTGTTATGTTATGTCTTAAGACTCTTATAACTCACTTTGCGTCAGAAAAATTAATAACTATGTTTTAAAAAACCAACCTCCATGAAGGTTGGTTGCCTCCTTGGCAGCCATGTTGCTTGCCTCCTGTATTGGTAGCCATTTTATAACCCTCCCGGTCCTCTGAGGGAGAAAAGAGTTCTTGAACGTGGCCACTGCTGTTTCCAACTCCAGGTCCATTGCAACAACATGTTTTCCAAGGGAGTGAAGATCTTTGAGAGGGTGGAGTGCTTCTTCAAGCCACGGCTGATCGCTGAGTGGGAGCCAGACCCCGTGGGCGTGGACACCGTCTTGGACGACAAGAACCCCAGCGCACGATTTGTGACCGTCCCCCTCAGTCAGCGTGTGGGGAAAGCCATACTCTGCCACTTCTACTTTGCTGACACCTGGATGATGATCAGTGAAATTTCCTTCCAATCAGGTGAGCAGCCTTGGGAATAGCTTCATTTGCAAGTGCAGAATAATATTTTGCCTGGTATATACTGTGTTGCTTCCAGATGTGCCTCAACAGCATCAACTTATTAATGATTATATTATTTATTGGGTAAAAGAAAAGATAAAGGACCCCTTGATGGTTAAGTCCAGTCAAAGGCAATTATGGGGTTGTGGCGCTCATCTTGCTTCAGGTGGAGAGAGCTGGCATTTGTCCACAGACAGCTTTCTGGGTCATGTGGCCAGCATGACTAAACGGTTTCTGGCTCAATGGAACACCATGACAGAAATGCCATTTACCTTCCTGCCGCAGCGGTACCTATTTATCTACTTGCACTGGCATGCTTTCAAACTGCTAGGTTGGTAGGAGCTGGGACAGAGCAACGGGAGCTCACTCTGTCGCAGGGATTCGAACCACCGACCTTCTGATTGGCAAGCCCAAGACACCCGCGCCCCTATTTTATTATTTATTGGGTTTTTGTACCACCCCCGCTCCCACTTTATCTTCGCAACAACCCTGTGAGGTTGGTTGGACTGCGGGATATAAGAGTGACAGGCTCAAGAGAACAAAGTTTTAAATAGGTGTAATTGAAATAACCCCATTCTTCCTCTGTCAATCCCTGCCTTCCCACCCCTCTCCTCCCTCATCTTTCTTTCTCTTTGTGCCAAACTATGCACCGGAAACTTCCCAGGCTAGAGACCTGCTGTCTTATATGTCATAAAGCTTCATTGCTAAGTGGAGGTTATGAACTTTTGTCTCCCTGGACCTATTCTAATACGCTGTCCTCTATACCACACTGGTATAGGTGGTGTGTGAAGAATTCAGTTTTCTTATAATGTAAGCTTTCATTTAAAGAAGTATCTAGCCCTTATGGTTGAAAATATGCATGACCAAAAAAAGGGAGAGGGCTATAGAAGATGGCCTGATCTGGAGTGCCATTAGCCAGTATGACCAGTCTGAGGCACTAGGGATAGGAGACCTGTAGTTGTTCAGATTTTGTTGGACTACAGCTCCATTCATCCCTGCTGGGGCTGCTGGGAATTGGAGTCCAATAACAGCTGGAAGGTCCCCCTGTGGCTGTTCTCCAGCTGAGTGTCTGGATGGCCAAGTTCTCTCTACCTGGCTCCGCGATGTGAAATGGCCAGGCTCTGAGCGACAGACTAATGTGTTTCTTGCCCACACCCTGTTGTCATTGCTTCTCCAGCAGATATGGATGCCAGTGACCCCATTATGGTCACTCTGGCCTCAAGGACAACCTCAGAGATACTCCCGTCAGAGGAACTCAACGCAACAGAAGGGACTTGGTGTAAGTATGAGGCCGATTGCCATGTCCATGGATCAGAGGCGCCAGAGGACGTTCGGTGGAGCCAGGGGCAGAGCTGAACGCTTTGGCTGCACGGTTTCAATGGCCGGTGGCTCCTCCTTTGCCTCCTCCTGACAGCTCCACTGGCAGGAGGCTGCATCAACCCTCCTTCCCCTCTGCGGCAAGAGGAGGAGGAGAAGGAGCCAGCCACTTGAGCTGCATTGCACCACTCTGTGCTCTGTGCTTGTGGGATATTGGGGAGGGGGTGGCCTCTACCTTCATAATATTGGGGGTGCTGAAAAGGGCTCGGACCCCAAGGAGTTGGTGTCCCTGCCAAGGATTTAGGAACGTCAGCAACTAGGTTGGCAAAGGGCATTTCCCCAGTTGAAAGCGTCTGGGACTTTTTCAATTTAAAGGAATAAAAGCTATGTAGGCGACATTGTTGCTTGTTCTACAACTACTGCTTTCACTGGCTCTTACTTTACTTTTACTCAGCCGCCCTGAGCCCAGTCTTGGCTGGGGAGGGCGGGGTATAAATAAAAATTTATTATTATTATTACTTTTCTGATCACACTGCTCAGCATTTTTGTTGCAATATTTTGCTTAACATTCTATTGATTTTTTTTTAACCATTTGCATTCTGGCATTTTGTGCAATCCACTTAGAGATTTTTTTGTATCGAGGTGCCCTTTTTTATTCTGCATTCATGATCATTTGTGCATTCTTTATATTGGAACACTTATACATTGTATTGATTTCATTACCATTCCCTGGGGCAGACATCCAGCTTCATTTTCAATCAGCACATGTCCTGTAACTTCCTGCTGAAATCCTGTAATTTCCCCCACGTCTATTGTGCTATAGCTCAAGAGAGCCCCTCCAGACACCAATAATTTAATAACATTGGGGAAGCATTTGGGAACAAGTAATAAAGAGGAATGATGTGTTGATGGTCCAGTATGGCTGCAGCAGACTTAAGGCATCCTAAGCATCAAAATGCAAGTCACATAAATAAATAACTATTCAAAGTTAGCCCTAATCCAGAGTATACCGATTGAAAATAATGGTCGTGGCTAATTTATTGCATTTATAACCTCTTCCCCCTAAACAGCTCTTGGTTAAAAAAAAGAAAAAGAAAAGTCCTTCTAAAACTGATTAAAATATTCTGGAAAAACTTGCAAACAAAAATAACAGAAAGCAGTTACAGCTGAAAACATTCTAAAAGCAATTTGAATTAAAACATAAAAACCTAGATCCCTTAATTTCGTTGGGTCTGCTCTGAGTAAGACTAGCATTCAGCCTATTTAATTATTCTTATATCTACTGCTACTGCCTGCCCTTTCAAGGACCACTGTGGAATCTGCCACAAGTACAATTATTTGATTAATGGACTGACTGATTGATTGATTGACCACCTCCTTGCCATTGCAGGGACCACCTCGCCACCTGCTGCAACGAGTCCCTGGGTGGCTCCGAAGGCAGAGGACTCCAACACCTCCAGTCTGGTCAGCTGCCTTGTGGCCATTATCCTGCTGCTGCTTTTCGTCATTGTTGCTATCCTGTGGAGGCAGCACGTCCAGATGCGGCTGGAGACGGTATCTTGTGTCCTATGGTAGATTGTCTGGCTGCGGGAAAACTTCCTAGCACAGCCTTGTAAATAAGCCCACAAATGTTACCAGCCAGCAAACAAGCTTCCTCAACTATCAGAATGGGGGACAGAGGGCTCTGTTTCTCCTTCGCCAGCCAGCACACTCACCAGTGTAGAATTCCTTCTCACCAGTGGTAACCAGGCTAGTGCTTAAATGCAAGGCTGTCCTAGCAACCCAAGCTCATCCTCCAGGAAGGAGAGGAGCCATTCCCATTGATTGATTGCATAGGTATTCATAGGAACTTAGGAAGATACCTTATGCTGAGTCCAGACTATTGGTCCATCTAGCTCAATAATGACTACACTCAGTGCTATTTTTCTAGAAAAAGAAATTTTGGAACTCATCATGAACACCTCCCTTGTTCTCTTATAACGTAATGGTACCCACCTGAAAGGTGCCTGCCTAGATTAACTGTCAGCAGTTCTCCAGAATTTCAGACAAGGACCCTATCCCAGACCTACCTGGAGATCCCAGGGATTGAACCTGGGACCTTTTTCATTCAAATAGCTGTGACCCTTCCTGCTTGGGGAACTGAGGAATCACATGAGCATCTCCCACACTGAGTGTTCTAGAACTTGGATCAGGGTGGGGAACTGGATCACCCTGTGTGGGCAGTTCAGGACAGATGAAAGGAATGACTTCTGTTTCCTTCTTTGGAGGCTTTTAAGCAGAGCTTGGATGGCCATCTGTCATGTATGGTCTAGTTGAGAATCCTGCATTGCAGGGGGTTGGGCTAGATGACCCCTGGGGTCCCTTCCAATTCTATGATTCTGTGCAGGATTCACTGTTGTAGAGATGCAGTGTGAGCATCTGGATGGCTTTCAAAGGGTGTTAGACACATTTATGGAGGAGGCAAGGAGGTCTCTAGTTTTGAGCATGAGGAAGTCAACCACTGAACATCATCCACTAGTGAGCAACAATGGGAAAGGTCTATTGCCTTCAAGCCCTGCTTTTGTGGGTTTACCAGTGGTGTTTGATTTGCCACAGTGGGAAACAGGACACCAGAATGGGTCTTAGTCTGATTCTTCAGGGCTCTTCTTATGTTCTCTTCACAACGAAGAGAATACCAGTCAGTCCTGAGCCATCAAAGAGCATTTTTGTGATGTTAGCCACTCTGAGCCTGGCCTCGGCTGGGGAGGGCGGGATACAAATAAATTTATTATTATTATTATTATTATTATTATTATTATTATTATTATTATTAACCAATTGACCAAATAGACTATTCAGAAAGGCAGACTTTTGGCTGATAGGCTCACACACTCCTTAAGTACAAGGATAAGGTAGCAAACAAAAGAGTACAAGGATACATGCCCCTTTGCTTCTGAAATATCATCAGGTATTGACTGTACACTTTCAAGGATGATCATGCAGTCATGAGGGTTCCTCTCCCAAAAAAGCTCAACAGCTCTGATCACTCCTCCCCCCCAAAAAAACTCAATAACTTTGGTCAATCCAATGGGTAGATCACTGCCAGTTTTTTTATAGTGAGAGTAGATTGAAGTCTCCTGGGAGTTAGACATGCCTGATGCAGAGGGTTTACCAGCTTTCCCTCTCTGCCCTTAGGCTCCTCGGCGGATCCTGGAAGAAGACGCCACCGTTCGGCTGTCCTTTTACAGCTCCAGAATTGTCAATGGCCAGACCCAGATCCACCAGACTAACCCCACCTATGAGAGGGTCTTCCCACTGGACCTGGAATATCACCAGCCCATCACTCTCCTTCAGAAGCTGCCTGAGCTCTCCCAAAGTGCTGAGGACTCAGGTAGGACCACCTGCAATGCATTTCAGAGCACACAGATTGGGCTGTGTGGACTCTGAACTATGGCTGGCTCTACCAATAGGCAGGGTGAAGCATTTACTTATGTGCTCTGCCTCTAGCAGACAAAGATACCCCTCCTTCTGTATGGTGGGGGGTGGGTTGTGTCTGCCCATCTCTCCATTGGCTGGAAGCAAAATCTTTTAGAGACAACCCCATCTCCATGGCAGGTCGACTGCCGGGTGCTCTAAGACTAAAGAAAAGAGGCGGGAATGCCATCTTGGAAAGTATTTTGTTCTTTGTTCTTCCTTCATTCATTTGTTCCTAGCTCCTTTTTCTACTCCCTTATGCTACTCCTATCGGGTTTTCACTCTCTCCCAGCTTCATAGATCTCTCTTCCTTCCTCCTGGTTTCCATTTTCTCAGCCTTTTTCGGGCCTACAGCCTTGGATGTTCTGTGGTGGTGGTGGTGGGGTGGCAGGAGCCTTGGGAAGGGCTTAAACAAGGTGGAAAGGGCTTTTTTCAGGAGCAGAGCATCCCTGCATTTCTTGATGCTTCAGGCAATCTAGCATTTGCTGGAGATCAGCAGGGATCTGGCCACTACCTTATTCTCCTTATGGTCTCAAAGAAATCAGGAGTATGGAGGGCCAACCTGGACCTCAAGAGCAGGGGTCAGCAAACTTTTTCAGCAGGGGGCTGGTCCACTGTCCGTCAGACCTTGTGGGGGGCCGGAGCATTTTTTTGGGGGGGGGAATGAACGAATTCCTATGCCCCACAAATAACCCAGAGATTCATTTTAAATAAAAGCACACATTCTACTCATGTAAAAACACCAGGCAGGCCACACAAATAACCCAGAAATGGCTTTTTAAATAAAAGGACACATGCTGGATTTAGAAGGCGATTGGGCCGGATCTGGCCCCCGGGCCTTAGTTTGCCTCCCCATGCTCAAGAGGGTATCTGACCCAAAATAAATTCAGGGTGGAGACCTTGAAGACCAGTCCAAAGGGTCTCAGGCCTAGGGACCTCATTGCTTCCCTGGACTGGACCAAGGCCTACCCTCACATACTAGTCCACCCAGCCATCACAGATTCTGTGTTTTGGATCAGGGATTGGCCCCAAAGCCCAGGAAAGTTCTTGAAGGCACTGATAACTGTAATGGCCCATCTAAGGAAGAGGGCAATTGATTTCTTCCTGTACATGGACAATACATGCAGGCCGTGAGCGATGTAGCAGAGACCATAGACCAGGGTATCCAGTTGCTTTTGGACTACAACTCCCATCATCCCTAGCTACCAGGACCAGTGGTCAGAGATGATGGGGATTGTAGTCCAAAAACAGCTGAAGTTTGGGAAACCTTGCCCTAGACTGTCTGCAGCATCACTGTCCAAAGGCGGAGAGCTTTACTAGCTGAAAAGTCAGATAGAAATACCCGCAAATGAATTTAACAAAACAGGCTACCAGACATGATGTGGTGGTGGGGATTTTTTGGTCAAGGGAACTCCCCCCCTCCTTTTGTTGTTTTCCTCCCCCCAAAATTTTTTTATTGGTTTTCCAAGTTTATAACAGATATAACACAGAGAAAAGAAAAAACATTACAACATTGAAAAGAAGAACAAACAAACATGCAAAACACTTAACTTTTAGAAATCCAATTTAATTTCCATTGTTAAGTGATTTCCTCAAATCCGCCCTAACTGAATTTCAATAAATCTCATTATGGCAGTTTTCTAATATCCACTTTCTAATAAAATTAACTTGTTCAAATTGCTATCTTCCTTCCTTTTCATAATATTCTCAATCCATAGTATTATACAATTCAAAATGCTTTAATCCTAGGCCAATTTAGTACTTGCAAGTATTTCAACTTATGTTATAGTATGATATCTAGCTAAATATTCCTTAAATTTCTTGCATTCTTCTTGATGTTCCTCTTTCTGATCGCAGATTCTTCCAGTAAGGTTGGCCAGCTCCAAAAAGTCCAACATCTTCATCTGCCAACCCCCCTTTTTGTTGTTCTAGCATGTAGCGGTGACTATGCCGAGCCAGACATCACCAAGTGCACCCCTCACCAGGGATTCCAGAACAATGTCCCCCACTACGCAGAGACAGACATTGTTAGCCTGCAGGGCGTCACGGGAAACAACACATATGCCGTGCCAGCCATCACAGTGGACTCGTTGACCAAGAAGGACATCACGGTGGCTGAGTTCCCAAGGCAGCAGCTGCGGCTCAAGGAAAAGCTGGGAGAAGGGCAGTTTGGGGAGGTGTGTGTTTATTCCTTTTTCCAGATATACTTCAAACCAGGTATGAGAAAAGCCGGCACCATTTGGCTTGAGGGCTGCCAATTGACAAGGCTGTGCAAACTGCATTTCCCCAAAGAGCAGAAAAAGAACCCTGAGGATTATAGCCGGCTCAGATCATTCTTCTTGCAAATGCCAGCTCTCCTTGAAAGAGAGCAGCTTTCTAGTCCTTAAGAGGGTGAGAGAGAAATCCTCGCAGCCAGACAGAAGGGTAGCTGAATCTCATGCCCAATGGTTGGGGTGAAGCTATGATCCCTGTCCCTAACTTCTTATCACTAGCAGAATAACCACGGGGGGGGGGGGGGAGCAAATCTGCTCTATTCACATAATTTATTCATGTCTCAGAGTCCAGCTTTTCTTGGTGCAGAATTTGGGTTGCATGTGTGCCCAATTAGTGCAGAGCACATGAGGGTTGTCAGAGAATTCCCCTGGAAACAATAACGGTGAATAGAATTTGCCACATTGCACAAATTCGTCTGAGGTCAGGAACAGAAATCACTCAAGGGGACACAAGCAATATCCACTACCATCGTTGTTTTTTAATCCACAAACACTACAGAAATAATTGCATTACTTTCTGCATTGTTTTTGATGCCCCTCTTTCACGGAAATGCATTGAAATTAATTATGCTCATTTTGACCTTTACGAATTGCATGACATGTAACATAGGATTTAGCAGAAGCTGAACCGTAGTGGAACAGAAACAGTGCTGACAGCGACAAACTCTGGAAATCTCTGCCTCCTTATATCTGTAGAGCACACACATTGGAGCAGTGGTGATTAAGGAACAGGGTCTGGAAAAATAGCTGACGAAACAACTGTGAACAACTACTGGACTCTTTTGCACCCTGGGCCCTCCTAGCTAGATCTAGCCTTTACCATTATCTCCAAATAGTCTAAGAATTATTCTTCAGGTAGATTGCAAGAGAGTTAATTATCTTCCTGCTCTAATATGCACCTAACATGCTTGTGGGTAAAATGGACGGTATGGATAGGGCATTGAGAGGAGTCTACTTCTCTCCATCTCTGCTTGACAATTACTCTAAAATTGGTTTTGTCCTCTCCCATGAAGGTCCACCTGTGCGAAGCTGATGGTCTCCTGGAATTCTTGGGTCGTGCTTCCTCAGAAGCCTCCAGCCAGGCAGTTCTGGTAGCTGTAAAGATGCTGAGAGCCAATGTCACCAAGACAGCCAGGTGAGCTCAAGCTGTGGTGCCAATTCCAGAGAGAGTCTGCTCTCATGAGGGATGGGGGTTTGGGAGAAATCCATTCACTTGTTACTGCTCCTGCAAGTTCCAAAGATCTCAGAAGCCTGCTCTGCAGTAACTCTGAGCAGTGGCTTTAGTGTGGCTGCCCCTATTCTGTGGGAACGTAATTCCTGTCGAGAAACAACAGGGACCCACCAACTGCACTTTCCAGAAACAATTGAATATATATGTATTTAAAATTATTCAAACAAAGAAAAAACCCTAACCCTAAGCCTAAAAGCAATAATAAAAACAGTCATAAAAGCAGGAAGAATAAATTACAGGGTAATAAAATAAAAATAATTGAAAGCATTAAAAAGAATGAGTGGTGTAAAAGAGACCCCATAGTGGAATACAAAGTTCTTATTTGTACCAGACATATAAAATAATCATGAATGTTGCCAAATAAGCTCATATTTATTTATTTATTTATATTTTATTTTATTTATTGGACTTATATGCAGCCCTTCATAAGATTTCAGGGTGGTCCATAGGATAAGAAAGCAAGGTAAAAGCACAAATAAATAGTTAAAACGAAAACAACAAAAAACAGTAACAGTAACAAACACATTAAAAAGGCTGTAGAATATTAATCAGCCAAAGGCCTAAAGAGGAATGTTTACCCCTGGTGCCTAAAGATGTATAATGAAGGCACCAGATGAACCTCCCTGGGGAGAGCATTCCACAAATAGGGAGCCGCTGCCGAAAAGGCCCGTTCTTGTGTTGCCTCCCTCTGGACTGCTTTTGGAGGATGCACAAGAAGAAGCGCCTTAGATGATGAACACAGAGTCTGGGTTGGTTTATATGGGAAGAGGTGGTCCTTTCAGCTGAGCAACCTGCTCCCAAAACTTGTGTAAGTAGTTACATCCCACTCACAACCCACCTCCGAAAATAAGATATATTTGTTCTGACAGACTTTCCCAGATTGACAAACCGGTCTTTGTCATTGTATCTATCTTTTGTTTCATAAAAATTTATGCACCTCTTGATTGTGAAAAGGCTCAAAGCAAAGTGGTTTACGAAAAATTCCAAAGCTGTTTACATTTTGTGTGGTTTTAGTTTTATTTCAAATGTACTTACTTTTGTGTGTATTTTTAGCTGTTGTATGCAGTTTTTGTTGAACATTGCCTTGAGACAATTGTACAGGTGACAATTAGTATGTTGCTGTTGTTAATAATTTTAGTGCAAACCCACCTATGGAGAGTTCCGAGGGCTCAGAGTGAAGGGGTGTGGCCTCTGTGAATTCTGAGGGCCCGGCAGGCCTGCAGGGCTGCATTTAGCCCCTGGACCTGAGGTTCCCCACCCCTGCGCATCGTGTTGTTGAGCAGTCTCTTGATTGGCTAAAACACATTGATAAATTGACTTAAGATGTCTTTTATCAGGTGACTGGCTTATTCTCTTTACGTGTCTTTTCCTTGTTCCAAGGAATGATTTCCTGAAGGAGATCAAGATCATGTCCCGGCTGAAGGACCCAAACATCATCCGCCTGCTGGGTGTGTGCGTGAGGGACGATCCGCTGTGCATGATCACCGAGTACATGGAGAACGGGGATCTCCACCAGTTCCTGCTGCAACGCCAGAGCAGAAGCACCTTCACACTCTCCAACAACATTCCCTGTGTTAGGTGATGGAGGGGAAGGGGCAGCGGGCTGGGTGGAGAGAAGAGTGCGTAGCCCCCCCTTGTGCTGTTCCTGCTGGGCCAGACCAATGGCCTGACTAGGCCACCATGCTGCTGCCCACAGTGGCCAAATTGGCCTTTGGGAAGGCCACAAGCAAGCTATAAGGGAAATAGCTACTGGTGTTTTGTGGCATACTGATTCCAGATGTGGAGGCTGCATATAGCAATCATGGCCAATAGAGCCAACCCTGCCATTAGACAGAATGAAGCCCACTGTAGCCAACAAAATGCCTGTGGGAAGCCCAGCTACTGGTATTTAGTGGCAAGTGCACATCCTTCCCCACCACATAGTGCTAACTATGGAGGTGGAGGCTGGATGTAGCCCTCGTGGCTACAGATAGGAGAGAAATTCAATTCCGTTCACATTTCAAGGTGAGCCTGCAAAATGCTCACTCTCTAAAACAATGCGGGAACTGAAACACAGCCAACTTTTGGGAGATTTGAGTTCCTCCAGATTTTGCAGTGCGACCCCCCAACCAACTAATCGGTACAAAAATGCATTTTACCCAAGTGTGCAGATAAATGCATATATTACTTAAAAGATCATACATGGAATTTTTTTGCAACAACAACAACAACAATATATTTCTTATACCTTGCCTAGCTGCTCTGGGCAGCTTCCAACAAAAATACAGAGTCTGTATGGGGTAAAATTGCATACCAAAAATCATGCATATTGGGAGAAATTGGCACTAAAATGCCAAATAATTTTCACGAGGAATATGTATACAATATTCCACACCTATATTTGTAGGTGTGGAGAACTGAACTTATGGTGAGAAAAGAGAGAAACTGAAATCGACAGATTTGCCCTTCTTGACCTGCAGATATGGCAGAGGTTTGGTGGGATTGTAAAAGATCTTCCCTTGATTATCTCACCTTTCTCTTCATTTCTCAGTTGCCTCCACCTCCTGCTCATGGCTACCCAAATTGCCTCTGGCATGAAGTACTTGGCCTCACTGAACTTTGTGCACCGGGACTTGGCCACACGCAACTGCTTGGTTGGGAACAATTACACCATTAAGATTGCTGATTTCGGCATGAGCAGGAACCTGTACAGTGGCGACTACTATCGGATCCAGGGCCGGGCTGTGCTGCCAATCCGCTGGATGGCCTGGGAAAGCATCCTGCTGGTAAGAGGCACAATATCTCTCTGCTGTTGTTGCAAATGTATTTAAGACAGGAGTGGGGAGGAGCTTCAGGCACAGGGGGTGAACATGGCCCTCCAAGCCTCTCTGTCTGGCCCTCGGAATTCTCCCCTGGCCACACCCTTTACCAGCCCTGCTTTGAAGGTTTTCGCCTCATGTCTGCTGCCCTATGAACTTAACTTCATTATATACCACTGCAACTGTTTTGCTCCCTCAGAGGATCCTGGGATTTGTAGTGTAGTTGAGAATTATCTATTGGAGATCACTAGCGGGGAGCCCCACCCGAACAACAATTACCTGGCAGTCCTAGAGAGAGGTAATGGCTGCTAAACCCCATCTAAATCTCTAGATTAGATGCATCAAATCTGCAGCAGGGAGGTCTTGAGGAAAGCTAGTGACTGATGGGGGATCTGCACACTAATGCTATTTATGGTGTGACTTTGTTGCCTAGGTTCAGGGTTTGTGGCAATGACAACTCCCAACCAAGGGCCAAAAGTAGCTCAGTCTTGATTTAGGCTGTGCACACACCATAGATGTAAAGCACATTTTCCCTCCATAAGAATCCTAGGAACTATATTTTGTTAAGGGTGCTGAGAACTGTCGCTCTGTGAGGGGTAAACTACAGTTCCCAGGACTCTTTGTGGTGGGGAGGGATGTGCACACTGCCATGGTCTTCTGACACTGTGGCCTTCTTCTCTTTCCTCATAGGGCAAGTTCACCACGGCCAGCGACGTCTGGGCTTTTGGTGTGACATTATGGGAGATGTTCACACTGTGCAAGGAGCAGCCTTACAGCTGGCTCTCTGATGAGCAGGTCATTGAGAACACGGGGGAGTTCTTCCGAGACCAAGGCCGGCAGGTACCCAAAACAGATGTTTTGCATGGTGGGAACGTGGGCATCCTTTTGACGCTGGTGCTTTACATGTTGGGCTGAAGAGGGTGGGAAGTTGGTTTCTTCTCCTCTTGTATGTGCTGCTGGTGGTGTGTGGGCCCTGCTTGCTACCTTCTTCTCTCACTTCCTCAGTTTTTAATCACATCCAAGAGCTATTTCCTGGAGGAATGGCTCTGAGATCAGAGGGGGGAAATCAGTGTCTCCTCTTCTCCTGTGTGCTGCTATATGTGGTTCCTAGCTGCCACCTCTTTCTCTTCTTTTATTGGCTTCTGATCCACTCTGGAGGATGAGCTCCAAAGCCAGAGGTTGGGTTGCTTAAGAGGGCAGGAAATCATGATTTCCTCTTCCTGTGTGTGATGCTGTGAGTGGTTCTGGCTACTATTACCTCTTCCTGTTACTTCAGAATCACAGCCAGCTGCTGCTCACTGGAGGAAGAGCTCCAAGCCAAAGCCTATGAGTTCTACATTTATTTATGTAGGATATACAAATTTAAACCACTAAAACAGCAACAGTCCATTAAAGAGTAACTAGATGGGTAGCATCTTCAGCTCAGCCCAGAAATCTGTGGTTCCAAAATCCCTCGCCACCCTCACTCTTCTTTTCCTGCTCACACAGGTCTATCTGACTCAGCCGCCCTTGTGCCCCAATCCTCTGTTCTCCTTGATGATGAAATGCTGGAGCCGTGACATCAAAGACCGCCCAGCATTCGAGGCCATCCACCTGTTTCTGGTGGAGCAAATGGACGGTAGCATTTGACCTGCAAAAAGCACCCGAGGGACACAGTCGAGATACCCACCTGCCTCTTCTTGGCCTAAAACGTCCTAGCATTTTGGTTGCCACATTGTTTGAAACCAGGTGGATTTCAACAGACAACTGAGGCGACAGCTGGGGTGGTTATCTCTTGGGATTCCTTTGGAACTGGGTGTGACGTGCCCTTTCTGCTGCGTATTTTACCACAGAGTTTGCATGGGCGTTTGCCATGACCAAAGAAATACGGCCCCACTTGAGGGGGCTTCACTGCCTTAGTCAAAATCCACTTCCTGGGACCTCTGCTCCAAGGAGGCAGCCATGGCAGCTGCTGCCTCCCTCAGCCATGGCCAAGAGACTCTCTGGGCTGAGGAAACATCTTCTCATGGGCCTTCCTTCCTGGAGAGGGTATTTGTATCAGCCCATTCTCTTCTTCTCCTCACAAAAGTGGCAAAAAACACTCTCTTTGAAGACTGTAAGAAGAGTCCTGTTGGTTGGCCAGGCCAGGTGGCCCATTAATCCAGTATCCTCACAACGGCCAACCAGATGCCCCAGTGGGAAGCGTGGTGGAAGCGGGACCTGAGCACAACAGCGCTTTCCGCACTCGTGATTCTCAGCAACTGCTATATTCAAAACACAGTTGGGGTTTATTCCACCTGTCAGGAAAGCTCAGTTCTTCAGGGGTGTGTTCACTCTTCCTGGAAGTCATGTTGGTGTGTTGTTCTCCCTGAAGGAACCCTACAAGGAACAGGAGGGCAGCCATTTGTGACCAGAACAATAGCAAAGAGTTGCACAGCTTCATTTTCAGGGGTTTGAGGAAGGTTGTTGTGACTGCATGTTCGCAGGGAGGGTGTACGTGTGTGAATTCTTACACACTGGATTTTAAAAATTGTTTTAAAAAGGGGCGGAAGAATGTTAATGGTCAAAGGAAGGTCACTGAGGGCTCTCTGGTAAATAGAGGTCTTTTTTGTGGTGGAGGATCTTTTAGGGGGAAATAGTGGACACTGTTACTACTGTCATGATGATGCTGATGCCTTGTGTGCTAATGAACTTGTTGCCAAAACGGACTGACATAGATATCTGGTCGCATCCACACCATACAACTGAAGCACATTTAAATTGATTTCCTTTGCACTTGATTTCCTTTGAATGAATCCTGGGAATTGTAGTTTAGCTCTTACAGGGCTTCCATTCCTTGACCAACTGCAGTTCCCAGGATTATTTGGGGGGGAGTCATGTGCTTTAAATGTGCTTTAAATGTATGCTGTAAATGGAACCTCCCTCTGTCTCCAGATACCACTTTATTAAGGCACCAAAAGGGAATTAAAAGTGAAACCCGGGGCTTAATCATGGGGGGCGGGGCGGGCGGAGAGACAACTAATCTCCCACGGAAGGGGGTTGTCTCACTTTTTGGGGTGGGTGAGTGTCAGGGGCACCAAATGGTTTGCAATCCAAAAAGAAAGGGGTGGGTGGGGGTTGAAGAAGCAGCTTTCAAAAAGCCCTCACCCCCTAGGAAAAGATTATTACAAACCTGCAGCAGTATATTCAGGGAGCCAGAAATTTGGGGATAACTGGAATTCAGATAACCTGAGCATCAGATATATAATTGACTGTAGCACTGTTAAGTAGCAAAGAGGTTTTTGGAAATGACTGCAGTCTGGGTTGTTGATGGCATATTATAAGCACAGGCAACCTCCCATTTACGCGAGGGTTACATTCCGAGGCACTGTGTGCATCCGTGAAATCGCTTATAATTGAAACACCACTGAAAAAGCCTGCAAATGCCCCATTCCGCCCCTTTTTGTGACTTCTTAGGTTACTTCCGGGTTTGGGCTGATGCACATATGTGCAGTCATGCACATATTGAATGCAAGTAAATGGGTTTGCCCATAGTGATCCTTTCTGGAACTCACACAATAGCCAACCAGATTTGACTATGGGAACCTGTCCTTCCTAAGCAGCAGTGGCTTATCTTCATTGCTCTTGGTGGCCCCTCCTGTCCTATACCACCACCCTCCAGCTCCACCCTGTCCTAAATCTTAGAACAACAAAGAGTCTTTATATGGCATAAGCTTTTGTGGACTAGAGCTCGCGTCATCCAGTGCTTGAAATATTGGACAAAAGGATCTTTAGCACATTATATGTGCTTGCCAATGCCAGGATTTCTGTGTTGTCAAGAACTGTTTAGTGAATTGCTACTGTTAAGAACATGATTATCACTGTCTGTACTTTTTCATTTCCCTCCGAACTCACTTTTTACAACCCCCACACCTCCCAAACTGTGTGTGAAATATGCTTAAAACTCAGGATGACACCTTCATGCAACTGATGAACTTGTGGTCTGTAGTCTACAAAGGCTTATGCTTTAAAGTGCCAGAAGATTCTTTGCTGTTTTTGCATCTGCTCCTCTGGACATGGCTCTTAGAGCCTCTGAAGCAATTTCAGTGCTTCTCAGGCTTGACTTTTTATCTTGGTGTGTTAAACTGGAGACCAAATATTTTTGTTTGTCTCATCATTCTGAATGTGAAATTTCAGCCAATTTTTCTCTCATTTCACTCCTCTCCTAGAGCCTATGTGTGATGTTGTTCCTCCCCATCTTTTAGCTCCCCCTACTGCTAAAACTCGGGCTTTCAGCCATTCTCAAGCATCTCACCTCCCTAGATTCCTCCTCAGCACTACACAGCTGCTTTTCTCCCTAACTCTGGTGTGAAGTTCCCCTCTGCACCAGAAAACCCCCAAACCACTTTCCTAGCAGCAAGTGTATTGATTTTCAACATTCCATGACTGAGCCTTCCCCTCTGAAGTTAGAAATGTTAGCAAACATTCCATGGCATGCTATGGGTGCCCGTGCTATCATCCACTTGATGTTAAGTGAGATGTTCACATGGAAAATTCACTAGTTGTGCCACTCCCCTTCCCAATGTGGTATTATTATTGTCCTCTGTGCTCCCCGCTCCCTACAGCTTCCCTCTGTCACAACAGCCATATAAAGTAGGACATAATTTCCATTTTATAGGGAGGATTTTTAATGGCTTTTCTACAGTCAGAATGACAACCATTTGGTTTCTAGTCATTGGATCCCACTGGACTTGTTTTACCATGTAAAATACTAGTTTGGGTCAGAAGTCCTGTTTTTTACCCCAGCTGTCATGAAAATGACAAGACTAACAGCTATAAAGGAACTGCCTTATACTAGGCCTGACCACAGGGCTGTCTCTAGCCTGGGGGCGGGGGAGGGATGCCCTCCAGAAGCTGCTGGACTATAACACCCATCATCCTTGATTATTAGCCATGCCGGCTGATGCAAGTTTGAGTCCAATAACTTATGGATGACAATAGGTTCCCCATCCCTGCTCTAGCCTATTATGTCTACAGTGGCTAGGCAGTGGTGTTAAGGAAATCTTTCCCAGCACTGTGAACTGGAGATGTGACGGATTGAAATGAAGTCTTGGGGACTCCAACCAGGTGCTCTTCCACCAAAAATGTATGGCAAAGGAGCTTTGGCATTGGAGAGAACTTTGCCATACATTTTGGGGGTATCACCACTGGCTATCTTAAATCCCTGGCCATGTGAGAAACAGGTAGGGTCCCCTTTCTCCTGTGCCTTGAACAGCAGCTTGTTCTGCTGTGACATGCATAGGAGATGGTAAGGGAAGCCTCACTGGGGAACCTCTGGCCCTCCAGGTGTTGTTGGACTACAACATCCATTGTTCCTCACCACTGGTTGTGCTGTCTAGGGGCTGATGGGTGTTGCAGTGAAACATCTGGAAGGCCATCTGTTCTACAACCCTGCAACTGTAGGCTGTAGGAACAGGCCAGGATGTTCTTGCTTTTGATCCCATGGTCCTCTGGCCATTTTAGGAGTCAATTGCTAGGTTAAATGTTGCAAATGACCCAGCAAATGACCATGGTAGGGTGCAGCCAGGCCTTTCTAGTGCACAACCCAGCGACAGAAGATAGGAATGAAGGATTTTGTTGAGAGAGCACCTTTTGCCTCATCTTTTGAGGGCAGCCTGAATTGGGACACCTTCTTCCCGTGTTACTTGAAGTTCGAAACTGTGGATATATCAGCCATTTTGTCCCAGAGCACATATAATTCCCTCAAACAAGGCCTCTCTCTCTCTCCCCACTGCTGCCTTATTTTTTGCTAACCAAGCTCAGATTTATGTTGTTTGTTTCGGCTGTTGTATGACTGTGTACATATTGTATTTAGAAATGGCATTCAGATGTGTACATAATATAATATATATGAATTTAACCAGCATCTCCTTTGCAATCACACACCTTTGCCATGGAGGCTTGTTTTTGTCTTGTTTGTTTCATTTTGTTTTTTTACATTGACAAATGACCAATAAATTCTGTTGGTTTCTTTTCTCTCCCTGTTTCTGCAATTTGTGAGATTAATTTCCCGTGATTCCCAATGGGATTGCAAAACCAAATGCATTGAGCTGGTTTTTGAGAGAGCCCACAAACATTTAATTGATTAATCAGTTAAATTAATGAATTTAAACGTTCCATCGACAAAAATTGTGTCCAGACTAATTAGAAAGTTGCTAAGAAAGAAAGAAAGAAAACAGTATTATTAATGCAACTGTGTATAAAACCTGAAAGGTCTGTCTTCTGTTTGAAGGCATCCAAGAATCATGAAATTGTTGGAAAGGATCTCAGGCAAATCTAGTCAAACCCCCTTCATTATAATTCTAAACTGACATCTATATAAATTGGCATATGCCATTTTTTATGCTAACTTTGCCCTTGTTTCTTTAGGCTACCCTCAATAGATGCCATCTTGGAAGAGGCATCACCCAGTTTCTCACACAGGAGGGATTGCCTCTTCTCTCACGTGCGCTCACGTGATGCATAGACACATCATCATCCAAGCCAACAGGTGACCTAGTGCTATCTTAGAGAAGGCATTCCCCGTTCTTTCACACAGGAGGCAACACTTTTCCTGTGATGTCTGCCTGTGATATGTACCCATATCAGGGTGCAGGACTAATGCGTGATTGAGGCTATCGTAGGAGAGTCATTCTTCCTCTCACCCAGGATGGAAAGCTTTTACTATGATGTCTGCTGTGACACAGATAAGCATCGTGCCGTTCCAATGGGTGGTTAGGGCCATCTGTCACATTCATACCCCACATTTAAAGCACTACAATGCCACTCTAAATGGTCATGGCTTCCCCCAGAGAATTCAGGGAGTTGTAGTTTGTTAATGTGATGATGATGATGATGATGATGATGATGATGATGATGATGATAAGGAAGCTGAGACTTGTTAGGAGAGCTGTATTCTCTTATTTGAACTACTGCATACATACAAATCAATCAACCAAAAACCCATAGAACAATTTCTTTAACACTTTTCATTCCAGTGACTTTACAGTGCAATCAGAGGCAAGTCCAGCTTGAGTTCAGTGGGGCTTACTGTCAAATAAGAGTACATTGCATTTCAGCCTTCATTGATCATATTTTAGTGTGTTTCTGCATTGCAAAAATTTCTGCTGAAGTGCCTTTTTAAGGCCCTGGAGAAAAGTGAGACTTAACAATGTACATTTTTAGACATGAAGGTAATTAGAACAAAATCCCTTTGTCAGATGATCTCAGAGTACAGGGAGGCTCATCTGGGCCAAGGCATTCCCTTTCCTTAACTTTTCCCAGCATTCCTCAAATTTCTGCTGCATCCTGGTATCTGCAGTGACTGAATGCTCCATTCACACCCAACTTGATCCAGAGATGAGGCAGAATGACTGTGTCTGATAGATGCTGAGCAGAAGGAGGCAGAAGAGCAGAGAATCTTGCAAAGATGCAGCAGGCAGCCCCTCTGAGACTGGTGCATGGGGGTCTCACCAGGGTCTTTCTTCATAGATATGGAACCCTTTCAGAGGAAGGTCAGTATATAAATTAAATAAATAAACAGTCATTCTTTATAGTTCCCAACATATCAAAGATGAATATAGGTTCATTCTTTATCTAAGTGCCCAATTCTCACAAAAGAAATTAAGAAGGCCATGGGGTCACGAAGAGTCGGACACGACTGAACGACTAAACAACAACAACAAAGGCCAAAAACAGGGACAAGTGACACCCCAGGGACCAGAAAGAAGGGACTAGAGGTTGGCATCATTTGGCACCTGACAAGGTCTCTACCCCATTTAGGACCCCACTAAGAATGCAGCCATCGAGCTGAAAAATGTTCCCCACCCATGTCCTAGATCCAGCATTGTCACCAGAGGCTCAAAGGCCCTGCAGGATCTGATTTCTTTCTGCAGGGCCTGTAAGACAGAGTTGTTCCGCCTGGCCTTTGGCTTGGAGTCAATTTGATTCCCTCCCCCTCTGTCTTTTTCCTTTCTCCTCCTGTGATGAGGCTGCACTTTAATGTTTTAATGTTGTATTTTAATCTTGTTTTTAAGTTGTATTCATTCAACTCGTTTTTATTATTGGTTGTTAGCCACTCTGAGCCCGGCCTTGGCTGGGGAGGGCGGGGTATAAAGACAATTTATTATTATTATTTGCTGATGCAGAGTGCCTTTGACCAGCTATGGGCTGGTTTGCCACATATGGCCATTCTTAGATTGGCCATAGTAATTCATGCTCTGGACTACTGTAAAGTGTTCTAGCTGGGGCTGCCCTTGAAGATGGCATGGAAGCTCCAGTTAGTACAAAATGCTTTTGATTAGTTATAGAGTGGAGCAGCTAGCAAGAGCCACATTTCACTGGTCATTGATATAGGCAGAACAGCTCATAGCACTCTGTAACCAACTCCTGATCTTAATCCCATTTACTCAACAGGATTTGGGAATGGAAATGGGGACAGGGTGGATGGAGAAGGGACACAGAAAATCTGCATTTCTTTAAAATGGCTCAAGGGCAGTAAAGGTTGCAGTCTGTGGAGATGAAGGCACTTTACACCTGGTCAAAGGCTCTCCTTTAATATTACTTCATAAATTCCAGTTCTTACTACAGACCTGGACATTGTGACAAGGAAAAAGAGACAGTGCACCTAATGATAAAAAAGTTGGGACAGAGGGTTTGTTGTTTGCCCAGGCTCTGCACAGAAAAGACTTTGTCTGTAAACTGACCTGCTGCCAGAGTGGCTCCTCCTCTGCCTGCATTTCCCTGTTTGAGCAATAAAGGTTAGTTGGGACCAAAAGAGAGAGAGAGAGAGATGCTCAACTTCCTGGTCTGCTTGTCTCTGGAAGCAAAGCCAAACAGTACATAGTCTGAGCAAGCTCTAAAGAGCCAGGCCTTCCAAATCAGATTGCTTCCTCTCATACTGGAAGGACAATGGCTTACAGTAACCTGGTCAGGTATTGGAACAAAGGAGTTTTAGCTCTAGAGAAGGGCAGCTGGGAATCTGCCTTACGCATCTTCTGCAGCATTGAAAACCCTCCTTCAAAGATCAGCTTCAACATTGGCTGCCTGCATCTTTCAAGGGGAGACCTGGAGCAAGCTCTGGAGGTAGGTGTTAAGACCATTTCACACATGACAGGTTCAAACTCGGGTTTTCCATGCAGCATACACACAACACAGAACTGTCTGCGGTGACTGGAGTTGTAGTCCAAAGCATCCTGAAGTCACCAAGCTGAAAAAGGCTGGTCTACCTCTGTTTTAATTTCCCACAATGTCATGGGGTGGCAGTAGATTGGACGCTCCAGAGCATTGTGGGAAATGAAGGTGGCAGTCCTTTAGCCACCGATACTGACACCACCAAGAAAGTCATGCTTGTATAGCCCACTAGAGCACACTTTGCTCCTGGGCCTCTCAAACCCAGAGCCAGACCTGCCTGTATGGCATATTCATATGTATTGATGATATTTATATTTTATCTGCTTATTTATTACATTCATATCCCAACTTTCCTTCAGTGAGTTCAAGGTGGCAGCCCCCCTTGCCATTTTATCCTTACAACAACCCTGTGAGGTAGAGTAGGCCTTCACTATATTGTTTTCAACAATTGTTAAATACAGTGGTACCTCGGTTTAAGAACCGTCTGGTTAAAGAACAATTCGGTTAACGAACTCCGCAAAACCGGAAGTAGTGTCCCGGTTTGAGAACTTTACCTCAGTCTAAGAACGGAATCCGAATGGTGGAAGGGCACCAGCGGCAGGAAGTCTCATTAGGGAAAGTGCACCTCGGTTTAAGAACGGTTTTGGTTTAATAACGGACTTCCGGAATGGATTGAGTTCATAAACCGAGGTACCACTGTACTTTTTTGTTTTGTTTACTTCTGCAAACCTACCCAGGCATGTCATTTTAACAACCAATTTTTACATGTGTTTTTATTATGCATAATGGCTTTATGGCTGCTGATTTTATTATATTTTTAAAATGTATGTTAACTAGTTTTCCATGCTTCTCTTAACTGGTATTTTTAAATGACTGTTTTAGATTGCCCATTGTAAATCGCTTAGAGCAGGGGATCAGCAATTTTTACTAGTAGTGGGCCTACTGTCTGGAGGTGGCGAGGTGGAAGGAGCTAGAGCCGGTGGTGGGCGCTGCCTTGCCTCCTTGCGATGGGAGGAAGAGGCCGAGTCGCGGCAGCTCTGCAAAACAGACGTCGCGCCTGGTTTACCTCAGCACGGCATGGGGGTGTCTCTGCCAATCAAACGCCACTGAGGTAAACTAGGCGCAGCATTTGATTGGCAGAGAGGTCCCCGTGCTGCGTTGAGGTAAACCAGGCACAGCAATTAAGTGGCAGAGATGCCACTGCTCGGCCTTTTCCTCCCGCTGCCGTCGCTGGGAGTCTCGGCTTCGCAGCAGGTTCCGGCTTTGTGGCGTGGGGCACGGGCCGGATTTACGACCCAGTTGCAGCTCATCCAGCCCGCGTACTTTAGTTTGCCAACCCCTGCCTTAGAGGCATGTGATTTTTTTAAAAATCAAATAAGTGGTCTACTGCAAATGTTGTTAAATAAATAAATCAGGGTTGCACTATGACACTAAAAAAATATAAATCAATAGGTATACACTTGTGGGAGGAAAGAAGTATTTAAACTGTGCACGTAAGGAATGTAACGTGTGAAGTGCCTCACATAAAGTAAATCAATGCAGGTATAAAAAGTGTTGTGGGGAGGACAAAGGATATTCATATTCAGCACTTCCTGGAGAACCAGGTTACCGCAGCAGGAAGCAACTGTTGAACAAATTTAGCAATTCCCAGAACGAATGAGTCAGCAACATGCCTCAGATTCCAGAACTAGCTGGTGCCCATTGGGACTGGTGAAGCAGAATACAAGAAGCCCAAAACAGAAAAAGTGTTCTGATATGGCTAAACCTAGGGACGGAAAGAAATTTGGTTCAGTTTTCATGTTAATGCAAAGATGCCTAATTCACACACACAAATATTTGCACCAAATTTTGTGATGTATTTATCCAGCCATAAGAACACATAATGAAAATATTAGTGAAAATAACATACAAAAGTATTAGGGAATGTTATGGAAAATCTAGGTGTGAGGCTGCTCAGTCACCCAGCTCGTCGGGCAGAGCCCGCAGGTCCCTGCAGAATAAAGGAAGGAGTCCAGCCAACCGGAGCAAATAGCTGTAGACCAAAGTTTATTGCGCAATAGGTTCAAAGAGCAAATTTGAACCCCAAGGATGGGGTGACAAAGACTTTTAAAACTTTCCCACCATATCCCAGAATACAGTTCGTACAGCATCATTGCTACATCATTGCTACATCACTGACATGTCACAAAAGGGGAGGGGTTAACCTTGGCAAACATGTCCAGACAAGTCCTTGGTACAAGATTAGCATAAGCAGACATGGCAGGGCAAGACTCAGGTATAAGATTAGCATAGACAAATATGTCTTAAGTACCCACCACCCAAAAGTACAATAGAAGTTCCTTTGCATGTCTGGAGCCTGAGGAGTCTGGTGATGAGATTTGGCTTCCTTTGGCTAACAATGAGCCCAGCAATTGTCACCTCTGGGAACTTCCTGGAGTCCTTTTTCAAGGGGAAAATAGCTTTGGAATGGAGGAAACTGAGAAAGGAGATGATTTTATATTATTTTTAAAGCTAGGTAACTTCCCTGAGCTGTCCAGTTGAAAGGATACATTCAGGCATAATATTTGTAATATTTAACTTTAAAGATGTGCCCCCCCCGGTAATTTCCGTAACAGGGACATCACTTGCAAAAAAGAGAGGTGCATGTTGGCAGAGATGTGTACAAAGCTGCCCAATTTTCATGAGAACATTTTTTTTTAAATCTGCAAACTGATCCAGAAATTTGGCAAACTGAACAAAAGGTTGGAAAGATTAGAAACTGAAATTGATTGATTTGTCCAACCTTAGTTAAGCCTCAGTGGAATACCTTTTTACAGAAGAAACAATGACTTTGCAAGTTCCTTCCTTAATGCTTTATCCCTGGAAGAATTCCTGACCTACTTTGCAAGCAAAAACAGAATTAGCCTCTCAGTGCAGCAATAGCTTAAGGTAACAAATTCCGGAAGAGACATTGCATTTCTGTCTCAGAATCACCAAGCTTGGGAAGGTGGGCTGAGTTAGTTCATACCTGGTTCCTGCATAGGAAGCTCTGTTATGCCAGCAGGTCAGAATATCTGCCCACCCATCCCACCCCGCTTTTTCACTGGAGATGTCAGGGGTCAGTTTTGAACTCAGTCCCATCCATGTGCAAAGCAAGTGGGTTCAAAGTCATTAAGCTGCAGTCCCTTTCTCTGTGGGAAATATCTCACCTAATATAACCAACATGCTTAACTATAATTAATGCATGAAGGAGTTAAAAACATAGAGTGAGCTGTCCTACCTGACTTAACTAGGTCACACCCCCTCAGGCTGGGAGGAAGGGTTACCAAACTCTTTGTTTTCCTACATTCCACCATTTTCCCCCACCATGTTAACTCTTCCAGTAAGGGTGCCTAAGCTGAATTTTAGAAACATTTACCTTTTTAGAACTAACCTAAGTTTTGCTGCCTGGCTTTTCTTGCTGCTTTATGGAAAAGCACATGAATCTGATCTTTGAATGGTTTTGTAAGTAAATCATATTTATCTTACCAAACATATTGTATATGCTAAGGAAAGTGGGGTGCTTTTGTAGCAACTTAGAAGGGGATTATTTTAAACGTCTAACATCCTGCATTTCCACGCTTTACTTTGCTGCATGTTTTGAGATTTTAAATCACTGCATGCGCTCTCTCACCAAAGAACACTTGCCCCAAATCTGGATCTAGACATCCAGGGAATTCTCCTTATATCAAATCAAATCAAACAACATGCTCAAAATGCATTTTGCCCTGCTGAGAAAAAGCTGTCAACTTTTTATGGCTGGCTCTATTTCTCTGCCTCTAAACAGCCTGAGACCCAGTAAAAGCAAACAAGTGATGCCTTTTCTCATTGTTTCATCTCTGTGCCAGGAAAAAAGCATTTCTTGCTGAATTTCTCCTGCTGTTAAAAAGCACAGGAGTAAAAAAAGAAATCTGGCAACCTTAACGTTATTTTTCTGCCTCCAGGCATTTGACCGATCCATTTCCAAAGACAATTGCTTAGCTGTGGGTTTCTTCCAGAGAGGATATGCTTACCTGTTGCTGGAGAGGTGAGTGTCTGCTGTTTCACTGTCAAAGGGTACAATAATTGAGCTCACACAAATATTGTAGGAGCCAGAATGAATCCAGCACACAAGCAGGGAAAAGGAAGGCAAACAACCAGCCAAGCTATGCAGCATATGTGGGGCAGAAACTGATGTCAAGTTGCCACCTTCTTCTTAGTGGAGCCCCTCCACCCTTTAACAGCCGTGGAATGGTGGAGAGAATTCAGCTACCTACAGCTTCGCTCCATGCCAGAAAAATGTTCATCTGTTGAATTTCTTATAAATTACACTAGGGGGTTTGTTAAATGTGGAGAGGAAATAGAGATCCTGTGGATTCTGTAAACCGGAAAGTAGAGTTCAATCCCATGCCCTCCAGCGTTCTCCAATGAAAATAGGGATGCCTGATTCCATACTACTACTACTACCACTACTACTACTACCACTACCTTTATGATTTATACTCCACCTATTGGACTGGGTTGCTCCATCCAGCCACTCTGGGCAGCTTCCAACATATATAAAAATCATAATAAAACATTAAAATAACTTCCTTATACAGAGCTGCTTTCAGATGTCTTCTAAGGATGTATAGTTACTTATCCCCTTGGCTTGGGGTTTGCACACCATATGCTCCAACATTTCTCTGATGAAATGTTGGGACGTCCTAAGGAAAAGTGGGATATTCCAGAATCAAATGAGAAACTGGGACGGCTTCTGTAAATCTGGCTCTGTCTCTGCAATCCTGTTCTGTGCACATATGTCATCAGGGGTGGGGTAGGTGGGCATGGTTAAGGGGGATGTTGGCCAAAGGGGGAGGTCTGGAGGGTCCTCAGACCCTACGGGGGCTCCTTACACCTAGGATATATCTAACAGCAATAACAGTGTAATTCTTTTCCTGATCTCAGTACCGTATTTTTACTTTCCTAAACACAGAGATTGTTGTTTTCTTCCCCTGCCAGATATGAAGAAGCCCTGAATGATTTCAGGCTTGCCCTGCTGCACCTCAGGAAGAACCCCTGCATTGATTATAAGCAGCTGGGTCTGAAGTTTGTGTTGTGTGCCTGGGAGGTAAGGTGATATTAAGAGAATCATACGATGATGACGCAGCAAAACAATCCATAATAGACATAACTAGGGACTGCTGCCCCTGTTTGCTCTGCCCACCAACCCCTTTGCCAACCCCCCTTCCTCTACACCTGGCCAACCCCCCTCCCTTTACACTTCCTTCACCTCACACCTCCCCTTTCATAGCCTATCCTCTCATACTTCCTCTACCCTTCCCTTCACAGCTTGCCCAAACAGTCTGTGTACCTGTGTACACAGAAGCTGAATGGTACAAATAAACATGTGCACATGTGCTCCCAGAATCCCCTGGGACATGGACTTCCCATTCTGGAAAACAGTAGCATACCACTTTGAACTGTCAGGGATTAGCCAAAAGGATCCTGGGAATTGTAGTTTGTTCAGGATGCCGAGACTTGTTAGGACAATTCCGCCCCCATCCCCCCAATACACATTCCCCACACAGAGCTACAATTCTCAGAGATCCCCATGAAGAGCAATTGATTGCTAAACCACTCTGAAAATTGTAACTCTGTGAGGGGGAACTCCCACAGGAAGTAGTGGTGGTGGCTTTAAAAGAGGATTAGACAAATTCAAAGAAGAGGATAATGCTACCAGTGGCTACTAGCCACAATGGCTATGTTCCACTTCTACTGTCAGATACTCATGTATCGGGATCATGTATAGGGAAAGTGTGGTTGCAATTAGATCTTTCTTGTGGTCTTCCAACAAGAGGTATCTGACTGGTCTGCTCTAATAATAATAATAATAATAATAATTTTTATTTATACCCCACCCTTCCCAGCCAAGGCCGTGCTCAGGGCAGCTAACAAGCAATGATAAAAACAAATTGAATGAATACAACTTAAAAACAAGATTAAAATACATTAAAATATTGAAACATTAAAATATTAAGATGTTACAATGCAGCCTCATCACAGGAGGAAAAGGAAAAAGAAAGAGGGGGAGGGAATCAAATTGGCTCCAAGCCAAAGGCCAGGCGGAACAACTCTGTCTTACAGGCCCTGCGGAAAGAAATCGGATCCTGCAGGGCCCTGGTCTCATGAGACAGAGCGTTCCACCAGGCCTGAGCCAGTGTTGAAAAGGCCCTGGCTCTGGTTGAAGCTAATCTAACACTGAGGTGTTGCTGTTTATGGACCTTAAGATCCTCCGTGGGGCATACCAGGAGAGGCAGTCCCGTAGGTACGAGGGTCCAAGGCTCTGAGTAAGATTAGCACTGGATGCAACCCTATGATTCTATGCTGTGAAACCTGTGTAATGATAAGAGTTTACTATTTAGAGGTCTTACAAAGTTGGTAATTGAGGACGTTCCTTCCTGCTGAAAAATCCAGTGTAATGTCTGAGGCTTGCATCCAGCAGAAATGTTATTTCTTGTGTGGTATGCAGGTGGCGTACAACACTGCTGCGGCTCACTGCCATCTTGGACAGTGGCAGGATGCTCAGCAAACACTGAAGGAGGCTGCTAGAGAGACCCCAAAGGGTCAAATCCACCACCTTGATAGTGCTCTGAAGCAAGTGCAGGTATGATTTGCTGCATTAACCTGAGGAAGTCGGTTTTTCCTGGAAGTGTAGATCCACCTTCCAAGGAAGAGGTTGCTTAGCAGAGGCTGACACACACAGATGCCCTTTTTATTGCCCACTCACACCTCTCCATCCAGACAAGCAAGAGGCACTGCTGGAGTTCAAGGACACATTCCAGCCGAGGAAAAACACTCAAGGGAGGTGCAAAGAGAGGCCAGCAAGGGGTGTGGCATTTGGGGAGTTGCAAGGGCCAGGTGGAGATGCCTAGAGGGCCACATATGGCCCCTGGGCTTGAGATTCCCCACCCCTGAAAGAGAGAACTGCCCTCTGGCAACTCTTTACACAGAGGATTTTCCTCTGCCTAGACAAGATGAACTTCCTTTCTGCAGCTTCAGGTAAATGTGTATATCCAAGACAAGATAACCCTGTTGTGAATAGTCTACCCTAAACCTGCCCTGTCCTAGGAACATCTCTTCTTGGAACCCCGGAGTGTCCCTCAGGGGGAGATCTTCAAGCCCCCAAAGAAGGACGTGGAAGAGCTAGAAGAAAAAGACTTCCTGGGCCAGGCCAAGGTAGAACCTCTGACTCCGCAGATAAAAGGGGTAATGTTCTTCTGGTGCGATGGGGCTAGCTTTCCCCAAAGGGAGTCAGCATGCTTCTGGGCTGAACTACTTTGGTAAAGGAGAGGGGTGGGGCTCACATGCTGGAATGTTCTCCTGTACAACTCACCTCCCCCAACAACCTTGCATGTAGAAATAAAGCTTGTCGGGGAGGTTCCCTGTTTACAAAATTTTCCCTTCTGGCACCAATTTTGCCATTGTATTGCAACAGGCAAAAGCACCCTTTCTTTTTTTCTTTCTTTTTTGGACTTTTGGCCATCATCAATTATTGGATGTTTGCTTTTTGAGTATTTTTTTAAACATGCTTGTATATGTTTTTGATTGCATTTTCACTCTGGCTGTAAATCGTTTTGGCACTTTCTGTAGAGGGATTTGCTAGGGGCTCCCACCCTTGCTCATCCTACTTGTCCCAAGCCCCTCCTCTCTTGCTCTATGCCCTTTTAAAGAAGGGAGGGGGTAGTCACTTCATACAGTGGCTTGCTTTCCCCACTGTTAAATAGCTTGCATGTGCCTGCCTGCCATTCCTCATGCTAGAATTGGCATGGCCACCTATGGCTGCACAAACTGCAGAGTAATTATTTATTTATTTTTATTTTTAAAATTTCTATACCGCTTTATATTTTTAATAAAAAATCTCAAAGCGGTTTACAGCATATTAAAACAATAAAACAATAGCCGGGCTATTGTTCCTCCGGCCTCATGAGGAGCCTCTTCAGTAGGGCTAGTGAGTGTGGGCCCCGCCCCCTAGGCCAGGTGGAAAGGGCCTTGCAGGGAGCGGCCTTCACAACCCACAACAAGGTCTGCCTTACTCCAAACCATTCTTTCATTCAGCTGGTGCCCCTTATGCTGATGATAGATAGATAGATAGATAGATAGATAGATAGATAGATAGATAGACAGATAGACAGATAGGCAGGCAGGCAGGCAGGCAGGCAGGCAGAGATAGAGAGAGAGATGGATGAGCCAAGCCAGAAGAGAGAAAATTGTTGTTGTTCTTCTTGTTGTTGTTGTTAAGCTTTGTTAAATGAATACTTTGCTTTACAACCAATAACATACTATAAAGTCACGTAACCGTTGCAAAACACAAATTTAACAGTACAATAGCAAATAATAGGCATTGCCCCAATGCCTGGGAAATAAAAAATAGTGCCAAATCAATGACAAGGTTGGAGCCAGAAACTCCTCCCTCAGCAAGAGTATTCCATAAATGAGAGGCTTCCAAGAGAAGGCCCATTAACATGTATTTGTTCTCAGGATCCCAAATAACAGCCAGTAGTTGACACTGCACTCCTCTGGCTTGTAATGCTCATTTTAGGGTCAGAACTACCCAAGCTGTAAGGAAATTTATTCATGCAGGCAACTACAGCGGCAAGAATGTTATTTGACCCAAAATGGAAAGAAGAAGAAGACCCAGCAAAAGAAGAATGGATACAAAAACTTATGGAATATGCAGAAATTGCAAAACTTACTGGAAAAATAAGAAATCAAGATAACAAACTTTTTATAAAAGAATAGACATGTTTTATTGACTATTTACAGATAAATTGTAAACAGATAAGAACATTGGCAGGATTCTTGTAATAATCTGCAGTTTTATAAGAGTATATATTTAAAATAGAGGAATAAATGAGCAAATGAAGTTAATTTGGATATGCAGAAAATATTAAAAATAAATTTAAGGAACAGCAGAAAGAGGGGGAAGGAAGTCATGTTTTGAAATGTCAAAATGATAGGGAAATCAGTGAAATGTATGAAATTGAAAATCATAAATAAAGAAATGCTCATTTTATACCACCCTCCCTCCATTCACAGGTCATCTCTTCTGCTTTTGAGGAAGATTGTGGCATCCGCTTTCATGATCCCCAGCCGCAGGTGAAGGGGGGAAAGCAAGGGAAGTATGTGGGATGCTCACGGGCTCCTGGTGCAGAGACAGCAGCTGCCAATTTCTTTCCCTTGGCTTCTCTCTAGAAGCATTGCCTGCCCTAAACCACCTATACCTCCCTGACTGCCACATCAGCCTGCCTCTCTCTCACAGCCATAAAGGTGGCCAGCTGACCTGAAAGTAGCCAGTGCCTGCGCTGTTCAATACAATATTTGAAACTTATTGCAGTGCGTAGATCAACATATTAACCACCTCAGAGATGCAAAGGAAGCTGCTCTTAAATTGCACAGCTACAGAGGCTGGCTGAAAAAGTTGGCAACCCTTTATTAGGTATTCCTGAACTTTAGCACCCCTTGCTTTGCTCCTCTTGTTCTCATCTACTTTTGTTCCCACCCCAAGCTAAAGAGAGTAGCAACCTTTTGTGTGTGTGCATACAAGGGATTTGGCATATCTCGAAGCTTCTCACTTCTTGCAGAAAGGCAGCAGTGGGATTCCCCCACCACCTGGAAAAGAACCCCCCACCCTGCCCTGCGAGAGGCAAAATATTCAGAAATCAGGTCAGCCACAAGAAGGGGATTTGTCACATATCAGGAGGGACCCTTTATATCCTCCCATTTCTCCCGTTGGGTGCGCAGAGCTACAGAGCCTACAGCAAAGGAGATAGAGGGAGGAGGAACCAGTTTGCTTCCTTTCTCCATTGTTGCATATTGGTTAGAGTGTCTGACTAGGACTTGGGAGCTCAGGGTTCAAATCCCCACTCAGCCACAGAGTTCACCGGGTGACCTTGGGCCAGTAACTCCTCTCCCTGTCTTTCAGCCCAATCTATCCAGCAGGGTTGTGAGGGCAAAATGGGGAGGGGGAAGAACCATGGAGTGGGGTATAAAAGTAATGTGATAAAGGCAGGGTTTAACTAATGGAATTAGGCTGTGTACACACCCGGAATTTGAAACACATCTCCTCCTCAAAGATTCCTGGGAACTATAGTTTACACCTCCCAGAGCTAGAGTTCCCAGACCCTTAATAAACTACAGTTCCTAGATTTTTTTATCTTGAGGGGAGATTCTTTAAATTGCACATTGTGCATTTTGTTATTGTAAGCCACTTTAAGAGAGCCATATGGTGGAGAGCGGGGTATAAATTTTAAAATCTAAACATTAAATAAACATTAACTAAAATAAAAATAAAATATAAAAGCATATGCAGCTTTATTAGTAAGTGGGTGACGCTTGTTTTGCAGCACCAGCCAAGGAAGATGACGGCAGGGCAGACATGAACATCACTGGTCAAAATACATCCCTGGAGGTGAGACTCTGTATTTGCCATGGCAATAATGTGACGTAACGTAATATAATGTAGTTGCAAAAGGGCTTTAGCTATTGCATCATGAACAGCCTTAAAATCTGCTTCAGAAGAATTGTAAGTTGTATGAATCTATAATATTGGCATTGTAAAGTTTGCCAGCTAGCTGTCCTAGAAAGATTGTCTCACAAAATCCAAGCAATGAGAGGTCAAAGAAAGGCAGACATGTTTTTGGCAGACTGGTGTTTGTTTATTGGTTTTATAAATAGTCAGGAATCTGGCAGAATGGTTCCAATTAACTGAGCTGGCCCATCCATGAGGAGGGGTGAAACGCCCACCTCAGCGCAAGAGGCGGTCCTCTTCCCACCACTTCCATCGTCAAGAGGGAGGTGTTTGGATGCACAGTGTTGCTACTCATCCTCACTGCCCCAAGGCGGAGAAGCTGAATTGCAATGCTTTGAGGAGTTTGGCAAAAACTGGGGTGCAGCAGTGGTGGAAGTAGGGTACATGGTGGTGGTGGGGCAGCAATTCCTGTTTCACTTCAGGTGGTGAAACGGAATGGGCCACCCCTGCCAACTACATTTCAGATGGTATGGTCTTTGCAAGGGAAAATAGGATTAACTGGAGAAAAGTTAGATAAATTAAGAAAAACGAGATGTGGATCTAAATAACAGAGTCATTTATTTTGATTGTAGGTGATAAATAAACAATGAGCACTGTGAAGGGAAAAATACTGTTACAGGAGACTGAATACCAAGTTAAAATAGAAGCTTCTTAATCCTATTTGTAGACTATATTGTGCTTCCACGAAATGCAATCTGTACCCGAAAATACTGTTTGCGGTGTCAGGAAGGGAAGTTGTTATATTTTTATTTATACTACACACACACACACACACACACACACACACACACACTCTCTGTGTTTCAGATGTTCCCTTTGCTCAGCCATACCTTTCCATCTCTTGAGCAGGACTTATCCTCTTCTGGGGAGGCTGGTGACATCACCAATGAGTTCATCCTGCTGAAGATTCACACTTCCTACTCTGTCAAGGTGAAAATGAGTCCTGCCCCATCCCTGGCTGACTTTAGGAACCTGCTACAGGAAGAATGCTGCCAGCAGGCTACACAGATGTCAGTGAGGTAGGCTCTGAGATACACATGAACTGGCACCAGGTAGGGATGAAAGCCGAATCTGTCTGATCTGTGGCTTTCCAACACAATCTTCAAACCTATACAGTGGTACCTCAGGTTAAGTACTTAATTCGTTCTGGAGGTCTGTTCTTAACTTGAAACTGTTCTTAACCTGAAGCACGACTTTAGCTAATGGGGGCTCCTGCTGCCGCCGCGCCGCCGGAGCACAATTTCTGTTCTTATCCTGAAGCAAAGTTCTTAACCTGAAGCACTATTTCTGGGTTAGCGGAGTCTGTAACCTGAAGCGTATGTAACCCGAGGTACCACTGTACACAGCTATCCTTTGAAATTTGCACTTCTCCTAATTTTGTGGTGCAGTTCTCCAACCCAACAATGTTTACAAAAATGCATATGTATTAGGGTTCTTTGGGAAAAGCCATGAGCTTTAAATGTATGGTGTGTCCATGCCACTCTTGCCTTAACAGCTTCCTATGTACCTGTGCATGATTGCATCACTGACCCTTTTCAGGTACAAGATTTCAGGTAGTGATGAGCTGATCCCTGTTAGCAATGATGAAGAACTGAGGAACATCTGGCAAAGCATGGAAGGTGGTCAACTGACCCTCTGGTGCCAGGTACGCGTTGATTGGTGTTGGGTTATCAGGCTTAAAGACTGGACAACAACAACTTTCCCTGCAAGCAGGAGGCTAGCACACCAGTCCTGCCTTGCTGTTTTCAATTTTTAGTGAGATATTATTTTTATTAATAATATTAATATTCAGAAATGGTATCCTCCAACCTGAAGCAGCAGAGTTAATTGTTTTGCTCAAGCTCCCTCTATGACCTCATTCTGACAGTAAAAGCTGTTGGATGGTGGAAGCGAAATTCCTTGGAAGTGGGTAGGCTGTCCTTTGTTAGAAGCTGGCTGGCCACCTATTACAGGTGCTGCAGTAGTGGATTGCCTGCATTGGTAGGGGGTTCGACTAGATGACTCTTGGGATTCCTTACCAATGCTCTGATTCCAGTGCATGTGTTGATCCAGTCCCATTTGTGTGTGTTCTGAAGGCCCAAAGGGATACCACGAGCAGGCCAGTACTCTACCACATGACTGCGTGTCACCCCTACACTGCTCAGGGCCAGGAGGATCTGTCTTTCAAAGAAGGTGACAAGCTGGAGATCCTCTCTGAAGGTAGGCAGGGCAGAGATGGATGTTTGATGGTCCCTGAAGGGAAAAATGTTCCCCCCTCCCAGATTAAAAGGCACCAGAGGCACCTTCCTCATCCCCTTCTCTTGATCTGTGCCTTTGGCCGTAAACCCACCTGCCTTCACCTTGGTTGTGTTTTCACAGTGAACGAGGAGTGGCTGGAAGGACGTTGCAATGGAACCACTGGCATTTTCCCAAAATGCTTTGCTGTGCGAGAGTGCTGTTGACACCTGCTCCTAGAGCAGAAAAAAGGGGGCATGTCCCTTAGCTCACCCACCCATTCAATCACAGATGCTACAATCGACCCTTCCCTTGCCATTAGGTGCTGTGTTGCCCTTCAGACATGCTGAAAATGCATCTAAGTGTTGGTGAAGTGTTGGCTTCTTAGTAATGGGAACGTTTTAGTGACTCATAAAGTCACCCTTTTTGCTTTGGTGGCTGAAAAGATCAGAAAGAATACTCTGGACAATATAGCAGTGAAATGTAAGGAAAACTCAGAGATCTAAATAGAGACTATTATTTGTGGCGCAACATCCCTTTTGCTTATATTTATTTTTGATTCACATTTGTCATAGCCAATGGCTAGTACAATAAAGTTAATTGGATTGGAGTGTTGCTGAAAAGCAAATATATTTCCTTCTCTTGAGTTTGTAGTTAATGCATGAATTACTTTAAACCACCAGAGGGCACTGTTGGTCTAGCAATCTTGCCAGCACTTGCTTATCGCTTTGCTTTGTCATCCTTAATGCCACCCTTAAAAGCTGAGCTGTTTTGTTTGTTGCTCTGTCCTAACTTTTTGAGACAAGATATATGCTATTTCTCTCCTTCTATCTCCACTCATTCTGTAAACAGTTTCTGCATGAATAAAGCCTTTGAATTCCAGAAATTGGAAGTGATTGTTCCACTCTAATTCCAAGCTGCAAGGTCTGCTAACAGTAAAAACATGAGAAGAGCCCTGCAGGATCAGACCAAAGCTATATGTGCAGGGCTGGAAGGCAACAACCATTCCCCAAGGACAGCTTTCCCCAGCAACTGTGATTCAGTGATCTGCTGAATGTGAATTTAGACCTCATGACTAAAAGGTAAAAGGTAAAAGACCCCTGGATGGTTAAGTCCAGTCAAAGGCGGCTATGGGGTTGTGGCACTCATCTTGCTTTCAGGCCAAGGGAGCCAGCATTTGTCCACAGACAGTTTTCTGGGTTATGTGGCCAGCATGACTAAACTGCTACTGGCGCATGGAGGACCATGATGAGTGCCACAGTGCACGGAAACGCCATTTACCTTCCCACCACAGTGGTACCTATTTATCTACTTGCACTTTGACATGCTTTTGAACTGCTAGGTGGGCAGGAGCAGGGACAGAGCAACGGGAGCTCACCCCGTCATGGGGATTTGAACTGCCAACCTTCCGATCGGCAAGCCCAAGAGGCTCAGTGGTTTAGACCACAGCGCCACCCGTGTCCCTACCTCATGACTAAGGTCAGGTTCACAACATACATTTAAAGCACATCCAATGCACATTTGAGGTAATGACCCCCCCCCCAAGAATCCTGGAAGCTATGGTTTCCCCCTTACAAAGCTACAATTCACAGCATCTTTAACTAGCTATAGTTCCCAGGATTCTTTGTGAGAAGTTACAACCTTTAAATATGCATTAGGCGTGCTTCAAATGTATGCTGTGGATCTAGCTTCCTGAACTTGTCTCCTCTCCTTTTTTACAGCCATCTAAGCCTGTAAGGTGGGACGCGGGTGGCGCTGTGGGTTAAAGCCTCAGCGCCTAGGACTTGCCGATTGCATGGTCGGCGGTTCAAATCCCCGCGGCGGGGTGCGCTCCCGTCGTTCGGTCCCAGCGCCTGCCAACCTAGCAGTTCGAAAGCACCTCCGGGTGCAAGTAGATAAATAGGGACCGCTTACTAGCAGGAAGGTAAACGGCGTTCCGTGTGCTGCGCTGGCTTGCCAGATGCAGCTTTGTCACGCTGGCCATGTGACCCGGAAGTGTCTGCGGACAGTGCTGGCCCCCGGCCTCTAGAGTGAGATGGGCGCACAACCCTAGAGTCTGGCAAGACTGGCCCCTACGGGCAGGGGTACCTTTACCTTTACCTTTATGCCTGTAAGGTAGGCTTTCCTCAACCTGGCGCCCTCAGCTCTTTTGGACTACAACTCCCATCATCCCCAGCCAATCACGGAAGCCAAACCCTGCCTCCAATACCAAATCCTGCACTAAAAGGAAAAGTGCTGCTGGTTAATCCTTGGTTTCATAAACCCATGAGGACTAGTGCAAAGCTTCCTTCATGAAAGATAAGTTTCTCTGAAAGCCAAATTTGGTCTTCATTACCAAATCCTTCAATAAAAGCAGAGCACTGCAGATAATTCCTGGTTTCATAAGTCCACAGTAAACACTTAGCAAAGTTTTTATTTGAGAAATGTGCAATAAAAAGAATTATAAAGTTTTCTAGCGAGCACTGTGAGGTCAGTTCCTGATGACCTGTTTATTGAACATTTGTCCTGATTTGTTTGTGCAGAGTTCGCAGGGAGGTCATACAGTGTCCAACTGTTTATTGCACACTCATTCCAATTTGTTTGCAGGGAATTTCTATGGTGTTGGGTCATGTAAGTGCTATCCCACGCATTTTCCCATCGCATTTCTTGCTACAAAAAGTCCAGGTCTCTTTTTGTTGCCCAAGTATTTCATATTCAATTTCATTTCAAATTTGAATTTTGCTGGTATGTGATGGAATCCCAACTGGAAAATGAAGACAGCCTGCACATGCCTTAAGTCTTGTGGAAAGTTTGTTCCTGATGGGGTTGAGAGAGATCCTTTCACCCACAAAAATATTTTGGTGCAAAAAAGAAAGAAAGAATGTAACTAGTTGTCCACAACAGGGAGATGAGAACCAGCCCCATAGAATCAACTCCCCCAAGTATTTACAGTGTTTGCATGGTGTTTCTAGTACGCTTTTTTTGTCCGTAGTTGCATCTTTGGGGATCCCATCCCAGGCAGTTCCTCTTCCAGGCCTGAATCAGACCACTGTAGCTCCTGTCCGACTGACTCCTGGCACCCTGCAATTCCTTTGCCTGAGAATCTATCATCTGCTTTAAACTGGTCTCTCACCTTGGTGCCAAGATCAATCTTAAGACCTGATAAGCAGCCTTGAAGTCCTGCCCTCTTGCCCACCAAGGCAGGCATCTGCATTTGCCAGTTGCTTGCATGGGCCCCACAGGTTGGCACCAGTGAACTACTGGTCCAGTAAACAGCGGATGAGAAACAATATTAGTAGTACTTGTAAATTCATTCCTATTACAATTAATTTTCATTAATAATAATATTGCTAGAGTGTTTTCGAGGGGGGTCAAAACCCTACCTCCATTATGCCCAGTGAGTCTTAGGAGATTCCTGCAACACAGAACAGTTTTATCATCACCCCATATTTTTTTTGGGGGGGGGGGGTTTGATGAGAAAGAAAGCAGCTTGCCTCTGGCCTTTGCAACAGCTCACGGAAGAGATAAGTTTCGAACCAGGGACTTTATGGTTTACATAGCTAATATACTGCTGGGGAGGGGGGATTGCGGTACAATAAATTATATACTGCATGTACTTCTGAAAAGAAAAGGCATAATCAGTGTTAGTTGGGCAAGTAGTGTATGTTTGTCCCATTGGGTCTTAGAGAGTTGAAGCTGGTCTGGCTTGGTGGCGCCTGCCAATCTGTTTAGTGTTTGCTTGCTTGTGGGTCCACTGAGGGGCTGGTGCTGACTGCCCCACCCTAACCCACACAGAGGCTGCGGGGAGGTGAACAGTCCAAAATGCAGCCCCTTTCTCTCAGCGCAGTAAATACATGACCAGCAAGGCAATACAGATTGCCAACACAGCGGCAATGAAGAAAATGCTGGCTGCCCACACCCCTTCCTCGTGCCCTCTCAGCTGTCGGGGGGCCTCTGCGGGGATCATATTGGTGAGGTTCAGCATGTAGCCCAGAGTCCAGCCAATTTCCGAGTTGGCAGCCTGCAAGAGAGAGAGTAGAGTCACAAAGGAAGGCAAACACAGTGCTCACCACTTAATGCTAATAGCCTTGCCATGAGCCAACACAAAGCTGGCATTTCAGGCAGAGGTGAGCTTCCTTGTCATAGGAAGAGCGTTTGCTTGGCATGTAGAAGGTCCCAGGTTCAATCCCCAGCATCTCCTGGGTTGGGAGAGAACCTGGGACTCCAGGGTCAGATCATGTACTTAGGGCTATTTCACTATATTTTGTATCCCAAGATTTCTACCTGTGTTTACTTGCTGCTATATAGATAAATGCATGAACCTGACTTTTGGAACTTTGTAAGTAAACCGTTTCAAAACTCACTAAGGTGTGTGGTCTGTGGCTAAGAGCAGCAGAAACAGGGAAGTTCTGAAAGTGGACTAAATGGGATATTAAAATGGTTTCAACAGCCTCTATCTTCACACTACACTGCTGCTTGCTTTTGTGACTTTTAAACTCTGTTGCTGGACAAAGATATATCATAATAGTGATAATCTATGCTGGAAATGTAAAGAAAAAGAGGGTACCTTTTATCATATGTGGTGGACCTGCCCTAAGGTGAAAGACTTCTGGGAGAAGATTTATAATGAATTGAAAAAAATGTTGAAATATACATTTATTAAGAAACCAGAGGCCTTTCTTCTTGGAATAACAGGTTTGGAATTGCCCAAAAAGATGTTAGATTGTTTTTGTATGCCACAACTGCAGCTAGAATTTTATTAGCTAAGAATTGGAAAACACAAGAAGTGCCAACAGTGGATGAATGGCAGATGAAGATGATAGACTTTTCGGAGCTAGCCAACCTCACCGGAAGAGTCTGCGACCAGAAGGAGGAGGAGTACCAGGAGGAATGGATGAAATTCAAAGACTATTCAGTTAAATATGCTAAGATAATTTAAATAGAAATACTTGCAAATAATAGATAAGGCTTAGGATTTAAATATGTGAAGTTATAGAATAATATGTTTAAAGTAAAGATGAAAAGAAAGAAAGATGTTAAGTGATTAAGTAAATTTTATGAGAAACTTGTTTTGGAAAAGTGTTACAATGATATATACTGAAATTCAGTCAGTGGGATTTGAGGAAGTCACTTAACAATGTTACTAATATTGGATTAAGTACAGTTAAGATGTATGTATGTTTGTTTGTTTAAAATTTTTGGAAAATCAATTAAAAAATTTGGGGGGGAAATTAAACTCTGTTGCTGGGGGCTCTCTCTTGCTGGAGAAAGTGTTTAGTCCTGTGCTTTGGATCTAGAGTTCCAGCTAAGTATTTTGTTAATTATCCCACACAGGTGATCTATATCTTTTTTCGCCTCTATATCTTTCAGAAGCCCTTGTGAAAGTGACTTTTTTCAGACCATTGGCAAGGAGGAGAAAGGAATGGCTTATGTGGGGGTGGGGAAGTGAAATGGGCAGAGACAGAAGGGGTAATGACAAACTCTCTGCAAACAATCAGTCCCTTCAAAACCTGGGCTGGTTCAGATACCTTGGATCTAAACCATATATACTGACATGACCTCAAGCTCTGCCCTCACCCGCATCCGGAAGGCAATGTTGTTCCAGGTGTCCGTTCGAAAGCCATAACCGTCCAGCAAGATAGTAAGGATGTAGTTGGCACTAGCACAGTAGTTTTTCAGATGGTCCTCCTTCTCGCTGGAGTAACTGGATTTCAACTGAGGAAAGATAGGGAGAGAGAAAGAGAGAGACAGCATTTCAAGAGCAGCTGAGGTAGGAGAGTGTTCATTTCCTGACCATTGGATATACTGCCTGATTTGATGCAAGTTGGAGTCTGACCATATCCAGAGGGCACCACATTGGCTACTCTGACCAGCAGCAACTCAGCGCAACTACCTGAAATCATTTGAGGGCAAGGATGGGGCCCTCCAGATGTCATTGGACTATAACTTCCACCACCCTTTACAGATAGGTAGCCGTGTTGGTCTGCCATAGTCAAAACAAAAAAAATTCCTTCCAGTAGCACCTTAAAGACCAACTAAGTTAGTTCTTGGTATGAACTTTCCTGTGCATGCACACTTCTTCAAAACAAGAAGAAGTGTTGAAGAAGTGTGCATGCACACGAAAGCTCATACCAAGAACTAACTTAGTTGGTCTTTAAGGTGCTACTGGAAGGAATTTTTTTTGTTTCCACCACCCTTGACCATGAGCTGTGCTGTCTGGAGGCTGGTGAGAATTCTAGTTCAGCAACATCTGGAGGGTGACAGGGTTTCCCATGCCTGCATTAAGGTGACTGAAGGGTGCTGTTGTGTGAACCTTCAGGACTTTCCAGAAGGGCAGCTGTGTTTCAGCAAAGACAGTTTTGGGTCTTGTGACACCTTTAAGGATGAGCATAGGTCAATGCCAACTGGGCGGCCCCCAGTGGCAGTACCTCAAACAAGGCCTCATCTGGGATAAGGGACCATGGGCTACAGTTTGTTCTTCATGGTTACATAGTACAAAAGGTTTTGGCAGGTGTAGTTCATATCACAGTGTTGAACTGTATTCCTGCTAAAACACCTTTCTGTGTAGGTAAAAAGCATTATCGACGACTTTGGAGCAGGCTGAGAACAGACCCAGGGAACTGAGTCTGGGGCTTTGGTAGCATCTGAAGGCTGTTGGCTGTCTTCCTAGAGAAAAGGTGGAGAACCTCAGGTACAGGGGCTAAATCCAGCCCTTCAAATCTCTGTATTTGGCCCTCAGGCCTCTTGCCAGGTGAAGAAGAAGAAGAAGAGTTTGGATTTGATATCTCGCTTTATCACTACCTGAAGGAGTCTCAAAGCGGCTAACATTCTCCTTTCCCTTCCTCCCCCACAACAAACACTCTGTGAGGTGAGTGGGGTTGGGAGACTTCAGAGAAGTGTGACTAGCCCAAGGTCACCCAGCAGCTGCATGTGGAGGAGCGGGGAAGTGAACCCGGTTCACCAGATTACGAGTCTACCGCTCTTAACCACTACACCACACTGGCTCCTCTCCAGCAAAACTTGCTTCCCCCAGGCTATACATCTCAGCAACTCTGCTCTGCACCCTCCTTGAGTGTTTTGGCTGGGCTGGGCTGTGTCATTTGAACTCTGATCATGCCTCTTGCTTGATGGAGGATAGATAGGGATGTGTACAGAAAGAGGCTACTGTACGAAAGGGGAAATTCTCATGGGTTGCTCTGCCCATCTTTGCCTCTCTAACCATGCCCACTTGTACTTCTGGCCCCACCCATCAATGATATGTGCCCCCCTGTCTGGTTGCCCAGAAGAGAATGTGGTCCTCAGGCAGAAAAAGGTCCTTCATCAACTCTGCTCAAGAGATCTGGAGTGCGAGCAGCAGAATTTGGGCTACCGAACTGGAGTGCCTCAACCAATATATTTGTAAATATATGTTCATTTTACAGATTGGTCAACAAGTCTCTTGTGACCTCCTTCCAAACCACACCAGGATGATAGGATACCTACTTCATCCCATTTCCTGGCACAGAACGTCTTGATAGTATCTTCAACAGTGGCCAGTGGCTGAGTTTCAGTCAAGTTCAGAAAATTGAAGGTATAGTAATAGGCAGAAAAAGCCTGAAATTTAAAATAAAACATGAACAGGTGAGACATCAAACCAGCAATGGCTATAGAAGCCTGGGGAAGGGTGTGGACCAGTGGTAGAGCAGATGCTTTGCATGCAAAAGGTTCCAGATTCATTCCTCAGCATCTCCAGGTAGGGCTGGGAGAGAACTAGATGGAACTATGTTCTTATTTAATTCATACCATTATTCAGAACCATGAGAACTAGGATCTTAGTTTATTTTTTAGCAGAAAGGCCATCACTCAATGGTAGAGCATCTGCTTTGCATGCAGAAGGTCCCTGGTTCAATCCCTGATGGCATCTCCAGGTAGAGCTGGAGAGGACCCTGCTTGAAACCCTGGAGTTCCTCTCCTAGTCAGTCCAGCAAGATAGATGGACCAGTAACCTGACTCAATATAAAGCAGTTTTCTACTTTATTTTTCACTTTAGCTAATAAACCGAAGGATGAGGTCCTTGAATAAAGCTTGCAACAAAATAAAATCAGATGATAAATCAGTAATGAAATTCATTTACAAGGCAGAAAAAGAGATAACAAAAAAAATCAAAACTGTTTCAGTGGAATAAGCAAACAATAAACAAAAGTAATAAACACTCCAGTATTATTCAACTGATACATTGCATTTGCACGGGTGTAGCCAGGATTTGTGTTATGGGGGGCAGGACACCCACCTGTCATCATCCTCTATCTGGCTCTTTCTAGCAGAATTGGAATGAAATGCCTCAACATCAGCTGTTTTAAATTACTTTCTTTTGACCCAAAACACTCAGAAAAATCTGTCACAATTTCTACTTTAACTTAAGTATTTTTATTTATTTATTTTATTGGGGGGGCAGCTGCCCCCCCCGGCTACGCCTATGTGCATTTGGACTATTCATTACTTCTGTGTGAACCCAAGGGCATGACAAACACAGACACACAGAGGAACATCCCTATTCCCAACTTTTTAGCATGAATTGGCATGCTCTCATACCAGAAATTTCCCGTTGACCTTAGGCTGGTAGACCCCGTTGAAACCACAGGAATCATTATATTTGCAGTTTTTTGAGAAGTTGAAAATACTCTTGAAGGTTTCCCGGCACAGGGTGGCATTGCCTGTGCCCACCAGAGTAAAGTTCTTCGAGGCTGGAGGTGGCATTGATTGCTTGGCACACGGACTGCTATAGACAGACGCAGTTGTAAAGGATGAAATGTAGCCTTCTGGGTAGCAAGGATGATCGACCCGATCCGATGAGCTTGAATTCTGGAGACAAGAACCACAGAGTGAAACCATAGTCCAGATGTACCTTCATAAGAACATGAGGAGAGCCCTGCAGGATTGGGCCAATGGCACAACGAGTCCAGCATCCTGTTTGCACAATGGACAACCAGATGCACCAATGGGAAGCCCCAAGACCTGAGCTCAATAATGCTGTCCTCATTTGCAATTCCTAGCAACTGACATTCAGAGGCATACAGTGGAAGTGGAACATATAGCCGTATCCTCCTCTATGGATTGGTCTAATCCTCTTTGGAAGTCATTGAAGTTGGTCGCCATCATTACTTCCCGGAGGAGTGGAATGATCCCTATTTCCCATTCATAGAGTTACATTTCCTAGAGTGGTTTAGCAATCAAAGAGGGAACTCTGGGAATGGTATATCTAAGAGGGGAATAGGGGATTTCCTAACATCTCTCAGACCCTTAGTAAAGTACACATCCCAGGATGTTCTGGGGAAACCATGAGTGTTTAAAGTGGTATGATACTGTTTTAAGTATGTAGCACAGATGAGGCTAATGCGATTGAAAACAATTCTACTCCAGCAAAAAAGACAATTAGAGCTGGGGTAAACCTTAAGTTTACCTACAACCTGTTAATTATACCTTTTCATTTGCATTTGTTATCCAAAATTATTTTTAATAGCTTCATAAAACCTTACAAAGCAAATCAAAGAATAAAATTATTGGGGGGGGGAATTTAAAAATGATTTATCTCCTTTTGATTTAATAATAATAATAATAATAATAATAAAAAAAAAAAAAAAATCTTTACAATTGCCCCTCCCCCAGCTTAAAACATAAACAGAATAAAATCAATGAATCAATGATAAATTAAAAACCAGATTAAACACAAGCCAACATTCTAAAAATCTGGGTAAAGGTAAAGGGACCCCTGACCATTAGGTCCAGTTGTGACCGACTCTGGGGTTGCGGCGCTCATCTCGCTTTACTGGACGGGGAGCGGGCATACAGCTTCTGGGTCATGTGACCAGCACGAACCAGAGCAGCGCACAGAAACACTGTTTACCTTCCCGCCAGAGCGGTACCTATTTATCTACTTGTACTTTGACGTGCTTTCGAACTGCTAGGTTGGCAGGAGCAGGGACTGAGCAACGGGAGCTCACCCCATCACGGGGATTCGAACCGCTGACCTTCTGATCGGCAAGTCCTAGGCTCTGTGGTTTAACCCATAGCGCCACCCGCGTCCCAGAAAAGTCTGGATAGGCTTGCCTAAATAAGTATGGTTTTATAAGGCACTGAAAAGAGTACATACAATGAAGGTGCCTGCTTTTTAAGTTTCTTTAAGAACATCTAAAAACCACACTGTGCATGAAATTCTTTAAGGTTTGATCCCTATTTTTGTTTTATTGTAGCCCAGATCAGGGATTTGCAAACTGTGGTCTGTGAGCATTGTTCAGGTGGTCTGTCGCACGTTCATGTTAAATATTCATACTGATTTAAAGTGTATTTTTATTGCTTATTTTAGTTCAATTTTAATCCAATGCAACAAACTGTAATACAATAAAATAAAATATGTAAGAAATAAAAGTAGCAATAAAAATACCGTTAAAAGTCATACAGCATCTAGCACAGCACATTTCAATGGGTACAACAGGTAGAAAAATCATTAAGTGGTCTGCCAAGAATCTCAGGAGATTTCAAGGGGTTTGTAGATGATATTCCTAGATGATATTCCTGTCCCTTTCAGTTAACACCTCCCACCACCGGCCAAGTCTCTCTGCCCAGGGCTAGCTTCTGAATGGCAACGGGTGACTTACGATTATAATCCGGGTCAGGTGCTGGAGGGCTTGGTTCTGACCATAGCACAGGTAGCTGTGGGTATAGATGGTGTAATCAAACCCATAGAGTCGGAAGTGAGCGGCTTCATTTGGATCAGTGATCTTGCCAGCTGGAACAAAACTAATCTGGGTCGATGCCCCTCCGAGATCCAATGCGCCCAATATATTGGTTGAAGTGGGGTGAATCCATTCTCTGTCTTTAGCAGAATACTGCAGAGATACCACAACAGGTTAGCATTTGTGGGGCCTGGCAAGGGGCAGATCATTTAGAGATCTACCTGATTTTAGGACTGAGCTCCTTCCCACTTTTGAAAAAACAATCTTCCCACCTCTGCATTTATTCTGGTTAGCATTTCCTAATGCTCTATGGCCTTGTTCAGACACAATGTTGAACCATGATTTAACAACCATAGTTTGAGAAACCATGGTTTAGCATTACGTGAGAACCCGGTCCAGTGGTTTAACTGGAGTTTATTAACTATGGTCTTTTGACTAGACAAGGGTAAGCTCTTAAAGACCTTTCAAAACAAACATACCTGATTAGTTTACTATACCCCAGAAACCCTCAGCACAAAAGTCTGGGGTTGATGGGATTGGAACTCCAGCAACATCTGGAGGGCCTACAGAGTCCCCATACCAGAGGCAGGCCTTTGATCTGATCCACCAGGGCTTGCATTCTTAAATTGGCCCACATCAAATGGCTGGATGTTCCCCTTTAATCAGCTGGTGGATATCTGCCATCTTGACAATGTCCCACTACTCAACTGTTATTGGCTCCTTAGAGCAGAGGTTTTCAACCTTTTTGAGCCCACGGCTCCCTTGACCAACCACATTCTTTCTGCAACACCCCTGTGGGGCTCAAGAGCCCAGTTATGTCACCCCTTGCCTGTAGAGCTGGCAACCTCTCACCCCTTTTCGAACACCCTCCCTTGTAGAGTGTTCCCTTAGCCTCCTCTCCCATCTCCTTGGGAGTCCTCTGGGCAGCAGCTGCTGCCATCCCTAGTTTCTGTTCTGTCCCGCACCCTTGCCTGCGGAGCTTATAGACAGGGCTGCTGCAATAAGCAGCTGTGCAAGCCTCTGGGAGGCAGAGACACAAGAGGGAAAGAAAGAGGGACAGAGGCTAGGGTTGCCCACGCCACCCCTGATCATCATTCAAGGCACCCAGGGTGCCACGGCACACTGGTTGGAAACCACTGACTTAGAGAAATGGGCAGGGCCAGAAGCAATATTTAAGCAACAGTAGCCGTGGCAGGCACAGAGAATGTAGTAGCTCATGGTGGAATAGGATCTCTCAAGCCTCAGCCAGCATCATGATGATAAAGAATTATATTTGTGTCCCACCCTAGCTAAAGGGAGCTTGAGCTAGTGCAAATCCTTTTGTCCTTAATATAACCCTGTAGGCTTATGTGAGAGTGTGTGACTGGCCCAAGATCAGCTTCATGAGCTGAGGAAGGGTTCAAACCCAGCTCTTCCTAGTTCTAATAAGATGCTCTAGCCCACAAGTAGCCAAAATAGTGATCTCCAGATGTTGTTGGATTTCCACCAGCCCCAGCCAACATAGCCAATGGTCAGGAATGATTGGAGAGCACAACAGTATTTGGAGTTCACAACATAGCTTATCCTTATTGGGTTCCTATCAGAACCAACCAGCATGGCCAGGGAAGATGGCAGCTGTACTCCAGAAATATCTAGCTTATTCTTGTTCTAGCCCTGGAACAATATGCCTGATCTATGCATCCTAAACCTGTTCATAGTCTTGTAGAATCAGCCCCACCTTGGTGAAGGAGTCCAACAGATAGTTGATGGTGATCCAGCCGTAAGCACCTTCGTCCTCTCCACTGATGATTTGAGCACCTCGGAAACTCACAGGATACTGCTTGATAGTCTTGCCAACTTCTTCCAGAACTTGTTTTGATGCAGACTCATTCTCCATTCTGTAGGGTAATTTGCCAAGAAGAACTGTGAATTTGGAAGCATGAGGCTAATTTGGAGTTTGGGGTTCTTTTGATTTATTTATTTACTGGCAGCTTTGTACCCAGCATTGCTCAGGTATTCTAAGAAACCCAAATACTGGTGTGGTTTTGAAAGGTTCAGTCTGCCATCTTGAAGCAAAATGGTGTCCAATTGTAATCAAATGCAGAAGTGCTCATTCATTGATCTCAGGAACCATTGTCCAAAATTTGGTTACACTATCTTAAGAGTTGTCCAAATGCACAGAGTACCGACAGGCAAACAACTTTTCAAATTAAGTAGTGTGTGTGTGTGTGTGTGTGTGTGTGTGTGTGTGTACTTTTAAAAAATATACTGCTTAATATAGTAATCAATCAATCAATCAATCAATCAATCTCAATGTGTTTTATAAAAAATGCAAACAACATTCAACAGAATTTACTTAAAGCTAGATTTTTTTATAAAGTACAACTGTATATCCAAATAAAACTGAGTAGCGTAGAAAGTAGAAGATTGAAAATGAAAGGTTGCAGCCAATGTAATGTAGGACCATTGAAATTAGTCATGTCCCAGAGTTCCCTGGGAAGAGGGGTTGATTTTAAAAAACCACTTGGCGAATTGTAGCTCTGAGGGGGGGGGAAGGGGGTCTCCTAGCAACTCTCAGCACCCTGAACAAACTACACTTCTTTTGGAGACACATGACTGTTTAGAGAGGTATGCTTTAAATGTGCAGTGAAGCTGGGTCCTGGGTTGCTCTACTAACTTTAGATGGATTGAGGACAACATTGGAAGAAATTGATGGAGGACAGAAGAGCTATCCACAGTGGCTGAAAGGAACATCCAGAGCTAGGGACACTCTACCTTTGAATAGACTGTTCAGCACCCTGAACAAAATACAGTCCCCATGACTGTTTAACATGGTATGATATAGCTTTGAATGAATAGTGTAGATGGGGCCTAACATAGACTCTTTAATGTGAATGGGTCTACTCTGCGTAGGACTCTGGATACTACTACTATAGTGTTATGAATTTGTGGATGCTAGACCACTATGTTCTCTGGACTGAGCATGTGGCAGAATTTAATCAATGCTTGGAGTGTCAAAATAGTCAGACCCATGTGTATTAGGCTGTGCGCTAGAAACTTATAGTGTCCCTGACCTTGTGTATTATTAAGCTGTGTATGAGATATTTCTATAGACTCAGGAATCAGCATGTGCTAAAAAAGCTCATTAAGCCAAGCTGGTGCTTCCCATGAGATGATAGCCTGAGGTAATGGACCATTAGGACAGCAGAGGATCAAAGGAAAGGTGTGAGGTGGCAAATGATTCGGCCTCTGCCTACAAATAAAGCACAGAGCTTAGAGTTAGGAGTTATGTGACATAGAACGCCAGAGGCAGAGCACAATGGCTGAAGTCATGGCTGTACCTGTGGGAGAAGCAAGTTCCTCTGGCAGCGCTGATATGATGAATCCCTCCATTGTAGGCCCAGTTTGTATTTGTGTGTAAATAAACCATATATCATCAAGACACCACAGCCTCTGCTGTGTCTTATTTTTCAGAAACATTAACCTTGAGTAAGCCAACCAGAAACCCTGGAATCTCACACTGCTGAGGTATTGGGGTGATGCACAACAATATATTTATTTGTACCCCACCTTTTCCCTCTGATAGTACTGAAGGGAGCTTACATATAAAAATAAGAATTACTATAAACATAGGAAAAAAATAATTAAAAACAATTAAACAATGATAGGATTAAAATTTAGAGAGGAGGTGGGGAGAGAGAGATTAAAAACATGTAGATAGTTACAATATAAACAGCGCAACGTAAGTCCTTTCCATAAAAGCAATCAGTTCTCCCAAGCCTGTTGGAACAAGAAGGTCATCATCTGCTGGCAGAATGACACCAGAGAGGGGGCCAGTCTAGGTTTTTTTTTTTGGGGGGGGAGTTCCAGAGTCCAGGAGCAGCCACCAAGTAGGCCCTCTCCCATGTCCCTAACAAGCATGCCTGTGAGGGTGGTGAGACTGTGGGAGGGGCCTCCCCTAAATATCTGAGCTCTCAGCCAAGTTTGTATGATGGAATGGAGCTTTTCAGATAGCTTGGACCTAAGCCATGCCTTGTACTCTTAGAACTGCTGCTCTTTCAAGCCTCTACTGTATTTGCATCCGTAAAGACTAGACACTTGCTCCTTTAAAAAAAAGCAGCTCAAAATTGAGACTCCTAATCTGAGATCTATTATTATTATTATTATTATTATTATTATTATTCAGCTGTTTTGCTAACATGACTGGTTTCACCTCACTCTGTAAACCCTGGCTCTTTGTCTTTGTACCTCAACAGTCTCATGCCGGCTGTGGCTCCCAGGTAAGCTGGCGTCTCCTGCTGCCTTTCTGGGGGGATCACGGTCATAGCAGCATCCAGGCATTCCTTGAGGGAGGCACCTGCCTGCGGAGGGTTTTTGGCATAACTTGATATCCCGCTCCCTGAAACACAAAAAAGCGCATAGAGATGGGCAAATCTGTCCACACATTACTTTTTCCCGTCTTAATTTCAGTTCCCCATATATCCAGATCTTCAGCTTATTTTTTTAAGTCACCATCAAGGCTTTTAGTGCAAATTTATCCTAATATCCCTGTGTTTGTAGGTAATTTTGCTTAACCTAGACCACATTCACACCACACATTAAAAGCGGTGTGACAGCACTTTAAACTGCTTTTTATTGTTTTGGAAAATGCGAATTAGGTTAAGTTCCCTTTTAATTGCAAACTGAACTGAATCCCCATTATCCCTACTCTCCCTCTTTCACCCACCCACCTACCCACCCATGACACCCCCTCTATTTTCTGTGACACCCCAGGGTTCTCTGACACCCATCTCTCTTTCTCATACCCCCCTCTTTCTGATGCCCCCTCTCTGAGTGACATCGCTTCTCCCCCCTCTCTGACATGCCTTCTTTCTCTCCCTCTCTCTCTCTCTGTGGCCCATATACAGTCGACTCACAACTTAGGCACATTTAAATTGTGCAAAGTCAGCTTTACGTGCTTGGCCGAATTCCCCCCCCCCAAATAAATAAAAAGGGGGCAGGTGCCTGTATGGGAGGGGGAAGGTCAGTAATCCCAGCCACCATGGCACTCACCTTGGGAGGGTATTCGGAGGTGCAGAGAGAGTATTTTGTCTTTATGCAATTTTGTCTTTATGCAGTACAGAACATAACCCCCACGTAAGCTGAGAGTCAACTGTATTCAATATTCCATAATCAATGTGGTATTGGTCACTGGGAGTTGAATACAGCTGATATTTTAGACCTGTTGGATCCCTCTCCCACCTTCCTGAGACGCCCCTGCCATGTTTTTATGTAACTAGGAGAAGCTGACCATTGACATGACAGGAGAAGGTTTGGCTGACCACGCCTGTGTTGTTCTCTTTGTCCATTGGCCACTGGTAGACGAAGAGCGAGGTGTGGGATGAGCCCGCATCAAACACCAGCCCGTACTGGAGGGGGAGACATTTAGAATGAAAGAGTCAGGTGGTGCAAAAGCTGAGCTGCTAAGTTAGAATGCAAAACAAACAAACAAACAAACAAACAAACAAACCACTGAACTCTCATCAGGGTTTAAGATAGAAGTGGGGGAACTTCCTTGGCCAGAGGGACAAATTTCTTTCTGGGTAACTCCCTGGGTGAGCAGCAACAAGTAGGTGGAGCAATGAGTGTTTCTCTTCACTTTGTACAGTGGGCTAGCTTACCCCCCCCCACACACCACAAACCCTTCATCCAGACAAAGAAGAGTTATAACCAGAGTTCAAGGGGACATGTTCTGGCCAGGCAGAAAAGTTCAAAGAGCCCAATGAGGGGTGTGAACTGGAGAGGGGTATATGGCCTGGGGAGAGTCCTGGAGGCCAAATGGAGAAGCCTGAGGTTCCCCACACCTATATAATAGGAAGACATTTATTTCTTAAACAACTGACTCAGTGGATTTGCCTCAAAGAAAGGTCCATGGTATCAGGTATGGCTGCACACTCACCTTATTGTCTGGAGGCAGTGTGACATTGTGGTTTCCCACCACAATGAGGAGCAGGGCTGTGAGGGAGAACATGCTCAGAATCACCAGGGCTGCTGGGGGGTACCAGTTGCTCCATCTGTTGCCCATAGCTAAATATATAAAAACATGAAGAATTTCCTGTCCATCCATCAAGATAATAGAATCATAGACTCATGAGTTGGGAGGGATCTGGGAAGTCCTCTAATCCAGCTCCCTTCTTGGTACAGGGATCTTGACATTTTATCATCCCTGACAGAGATCAACCAAGCAAGCTCCAAAAGGGAGAGTCCATCATCTAGGGCTGCCATACACCTGGGTTTTCCTGGACATGTCTGGGAATCAGGCTGTCAAAATGGCATCTGGGCAGATTTTCATCGAATTAGCAAGATGTCTGGGGAAACCTGGATATATGGCAACTAGAGCAATTTCTTAAGAAAAATGCTGTAAAAATCCCAAAGATTTAACAACTTAACAACAACTTTGTCCGGATTTTCACTTTTGCGAATATGGCAATCCTACCATAATCACCTTCTGTCACAGGGATATCTGGGCAAGTGAACTGGTCCCTGAGCTTGCTACCCCTTTCCCCTCCCCTCTATGGCTTTTAGAATGTAAGCTTATTACCAGTCCTGAATAGCCACTTTTAAGTCAAGATTAAATGAGTGAATGAATGACTAAAGGCCATATGGGGAAATAGTCTGGGTTTTTATTTTTGCAGGTGGGTGGAGATGGATTTATTTCCATTTCTGCATAAATAATAATAATAATAATAATAATAATAATAATAATAATAATAATAATAATTTATTATTTGTACCCTGCCCATCACTCTGGGCGGCTTCCACAAAGACCAAAAATACACTAAGATGTCACACATTAAAAACTTCCCTGAACAGGGCTGTCTTAAGATGTCTTCTGAATGTCAGGTAGTTGTTTATCTCTTTGACATCTGATGGGAGGGCATTCCACAGGGCGAGCGCCACTAGCGAGAAGGCCTACTGCCTGGTTCCCTGTAGTTTTGCTTCTCGCGAGGGAACCGCCAGAAGGCCCTCAGCCAGTGGCGTAGCGTGGGTTGTCAGCACCCGGGGCAAGGCAAGTAATTTGCGCTCCCTAACCCGTGGATTTGCGCCCCCTTACCCGTGGATTTGCGCCCCCTAACCCTAACCCCCAGATGTTGCACCCGGTGCGGCCGGCCCCCCCTGCACCCCCCACGCTACGCCACTGCCCTCAGCGCTGGACCTCAGCATCCGGGCAGAACGATGGGGGTGGAGACGTACATATTTTGAAAGCTTGATACAGTAAATGCATTACAGTGGTACCTCGGGTTAAGAACTTAATTCGATCCAGAGGTCCGTTCTTAACCTGAAACTGTTCTTAACCTGAAGCACCACTTTAGCTAATGGGTCCTCCCACTGCTGCCGCCGCACCACTGCTGTGCAATTTCTGTTCTCATCCTGAAGCAACGTTCTTAACCCGACGTACTATTTCTGGGTTAGCGGCATCTGTAACCTGAAGCGCTTGTAACCTGAGGTACCACTGTATACCAGGGCAATGCATTTCTGTATGGCTGGAGGCAAACACGAATCACAGAAACATAAAACTGTAGCGTTGGAAGGGACGTAAAGGGTCACCTAATCCAACCCTCTGCAGATCACTCCCAAGTGAGTTACTTGCCCAACGACAGGTACAGTTGGGGCATCAGTAACAAATGCAAATTTTGGGGAAATTCTTATGTTGTAACTGAGCCCAGGATCCTGGGGGATGCAGTTGATGACTTCCACATCTGGACAGCTTTTGCACTTTGCTTCTAAATGACGATTCCCCCAATTCTTTCACTATTGAAAATTTTGAAAGCGGGGGGGGGGGGAAGCCCTGGTATGTGTGTGTATGGGTGTGTGAATCTCTGGCCGACACGTCTGATTGCTGCTTGACTTTGTGCCAGAATCAATTACATGGATCACTAAAGATATCCGAATGGAAAGGAAAACTCCCAAGGCCACACGGTAGATAAACAGGTGCAATTGGTTTTTCTTTTTCTTTTAACTCTGTAAGAAGTTAAAATTTCTGGATGAACAGCAGCAGCAGGAACCTAGAAAGCTCTTAGTTCTCACTGGCAGGTAGCTGTGACTGAGAATGGAGTGAGTTGTCTGAGGCCATATAAGTGCTTTCTAAAGGTAATTTAATGCATCTATGGTGGGAGTGACATTTGAACAAGTGATTACTCAGCTCATACCACACCAGCTCTTTGTTTACCAAGCAGCATGTGAATCAGCACTTTTCCTCAGAAGCAAATAATAAGAGCTCTGCAAGATTAGGACAAAGGCCCATCCAGTCCTGTTCCCACAGTGGTCAAACAGATGTCCATGGGGAGGCCGTAAGCAGGAAGTGAGCGCTAGAGCAACTCTCCCCCACTGGTGATTCCCAGGAACTGTTATCCAGAGTTGCAAATGCCTTCGCCAGTAGATATAAGGTTGCCATACGCTCGTAACCTGCCAAGCCCCCCCCCTCAATATTTATCTTGCCACAACATATAGTAGACTTCAGGTTCGTTCTCAGCTAAGCCACACAGCAAACTCTGGTGTAGCCACCAAGACTAACACATTAACCTTCCTTTTCAAAGCCAAAAAGGCACCCACCATGTCTGTCTATGTGGAGAGATCAAAACTAGAAACAGAACAAACATGGCGGCGAAGGTAGTTTCCGAGTAATTTCGCTTACCCTTATCAAAGTTTTAAGTTGTTTTAAGAGGTTTTTATCCTCCCTTGTTTTTATCCGTGAGTTTTAATGATCTGCTGGCTGTCTTTTAGTATCCCGCTATTTGTGTTATCTTTGTTTTCTTTTTATCTGGGTTGCTCCGACGCCCGGACTTGCCGCCACGGCTGCCGCCGCCTGCCTAACTGGGAGAGATAAGTGAAAGGTTCTCCTGGGCATAAATCCTCTGCCCTGTCGACCAACTCTTTCCTTTAGCTTTTAGTTTATTGCATATTACGAAGTGAATTTTTCCCGACTGCTGGAACCGAGCTGTCTCGAAAATCCTAGGAACAAGGAAACAGAACTGTTAGAACCCAATACTAAGAATTTGTCAAGAATGTATAACTTGTTGCTGGAATGGAATACACAAGATGAAACAGTTAAATCAGCTATGATTAAGTGGGCACAAGACATTGGTCATAATATTATGTTTGCTGACTGGGAACAGTTATGGACCACCGGTATAAAGTTTACGGCATGTAATGCCTTAAGAGAGAATATTATGAAAATGATTTATAGGTGGTACATGACCCCAGTCAAGCTTGCAAAAATTTATCATTTGCCCAACAATAAATGCTGGAAATGTAATGAAACTGAAGGTACTTTCTACCACCTTTGGTGGACATGCCCGAGGATTAAGGCCTTCTGGGAAATGATCTATAATGAAATGAAGAAGGTACTTAAATGTACTTTTCATAAGAAACCAGAGGCTTTTCTCTTGGGCATGATCGGCCAAATTGGTGTCAAAGAGAGACAGGACGTTTTTTATGTATGCTACTACAGCAGCAAGGGTTCTTATAGCAAAGTATTGGAAGACACAAGAACTACCCACGCTGGAAGAATGGCAGACGAAGGTGATTGACTACATGGGACTGGCTGAGATGACTGGCAGAATCCGTGACCAAGGAAAAGAGACGGCGGAGGAAGATTGGAAGAAATTTAAAGCTTATCTTAAGAACTATTATAAAATTAATGAGTGCTAAAATGTCGAGGTTAGGGAAAAAAAGAGGATTACAGCTGTAAATGACTAGGTAAGAGAGAAGGGGAAAAAAGAGTAATTAGTTAAATTAAGTGAGGATTTGCTGAAGAAATTTTGAAATAGGGATGCAGAAAGGGGAGGTATGGGGAAGTCAGAGAAGTAAGATTTATGAAAGGAAGGTTTTGAAATTATACGTGTTTATGTGTTTGTTTGTTTGTGTATTGTGTATTGTATTGTGTTTAATATATGTTGGAAAATCAATAAAAATATTATTAAAAAAAAAAGTACTGAGCTAGATTGCCTAATGCAGGGGTCAGCAAACTTTTTCAGCAGGGGGCCGGTCCACTGTCCCTCAGACTTTGTGGGGGGCCGGAATATATGTTGCCATGATTATGACCCATTTGCAAAACCCTTATTGGGACCAACCCCAATGTTGCCCAAATGTGATTCTTTTTTGGGGGGGGGGTGTTCCCTCATACACCCATGCTGCTTCCTTTGCGTTTTACACGTTGACAGTTATTATTTCTTTCATAAGGCGGGGTGGGGGGCTGAGGTAAGCACACCATTCCTGTCAGCCCTGGAGAGCGTGTGCACATGCATGGGTGAAGGGAAAAGCCGTTGGCCACGCTAAGTCAGACCAGCGCCACTCAAGCAAAAACGTTCTTTTCCCTGTGTGAGGGAAGATGAGGCAGCAGCAGCTATTTACAGTGGTACCTCGCAAGACGAATGCCTCGCAAGACGAAAAACGCGCAAGACGAAAGGGTTTTCTGTTTTTTGAGTCATTCCGCAAGACGAATTTCCCTATGAGCTTGCTTCGCAAGACGAAACGTCTTGCGAGTGCTTGCGAGTTTGTTTCCTTTTTCTTAAAGCCGCTAAGCTGTTAATAGCCGCTAAGCCGTTAATAGCCGCTAAGCCGCTAAGCTGTTAATAGCCACTAAGCCATTAATAGCCGCTAAGCCGCTAATAGCCGCTAAGCCGCTAATAGCCGTGCTTCGCAAGACGGAAAAAACGCAAGACGAAGAGACTCGCGGAATGGATTAATTTCGTCTTGGGAGGCACCACTGTACCTTTCCATGGCTTGCACAGTATAGCTAACAAGCGAGCGGCCTCCCAGCAGAGTGCAGAACTGATTCGGAGTGCAGCCACCCAGGCGCTCCCTGCTTCCTCCGGCGGGAAGTACCGCCGCCACAGACACTGGCGGGCGTCGTTCCCAAGGCACCTCCCGCAACTGCCCTTCCTGAGGTCAGTCACCAGCACTTCCATTGTGGAAATTCAAACTGTGGCTCCTTTTCCCTCTTCCCCACCCCCCACCCCGGAAGAAAAGATTGCTGCGTGCGCATGACAGACGGAGAAGGGGCTTGCCTCAAGCAGCTGCCTGCCTCACTTTTGACCCCCAAGCTTGGTTGAGTTGCAAAAACCATTGCGTGCGCTATGCCGGCTGCCTGGATTCTCGGACCGTCCATGGGCCAGATCCAAAAGGCCATTGGGCCTGATCCGGCCCACGGACCTTAGTTTGCCGACCCATGGCCTAATGGGTCTGATTCAGCAACTTCCTTGCCCGTCACCCATTTGACAGCTGGCATAGCTTGTCTAACATTCCCTTTCAAAGAAACTATATATAACAGGCCTTAGATAAATCCACTGCCAATAAATAAGCTCACAAAAACAGGATCAACAAAGGGATCCACCCATATGTTCAACAAGGCCTTGGGCTTCTGCCCAGAAATAAAACCTTGGCAAACAGCACCAGCACATTCCAAAGAGCCAGTCGTGGGCAGGAGGGGCAGGATGTGGATGGAGGAGCACCTGAAGGATTTGATACCAGCCACACCTGCCCATCATGAAATATGCTGCCTTCCCATTGGTCTCTGTAAACCAAGTGTGGTGAGGTAGATCTGGATAGCCAGCGGGTTGTTACCTCCCCCACCCTTGGCGGGTGAAGTCTGACACGGGGTGGTGCTGTCCACTTGTCAATCACCTGGTATCACAATGACATCATCCCTGCTTGCAGGGTTTGAAATCAGCTGATTGCTGGGTCTTTCGGAGTTGTGTATCTGGGTGCACAGGGCTTTGTATGTGCCACTGGCCAGCTGATTGTTACTTCCTGAAAAACCCCTTTTGGGTTGGCTGCATCCTTACATGCCCAACACTTGACGTGGCTTGGTTGAAATGGCCGGGGTGGAGGCACACTAATTAAGCCAGCAGACCAGGGGTACACCTATTCTAACATGCCCTGGGAAGATTGGCAAAGAGAATGCTGAGGGAGCCTGATGACTGAGTCCTGTGAGGAAGGGGCAGAGAACCTGCTTTGAATGCAGAAGGTCCCAGGTTCAATCCCCAATGGCATCTTCAGGCAGAGAATGTTCTCTTGCCTGAATCCCTGGAGAGCCACTGCCAGCCAGTGCAGACAATACTGAAATAGAAGAACCAATGGGTCTGACTCAGTATAAAGCAGCTTCCTATGTTTTCAGTTTTTTTCAATGACTTTTTATGTTTTAGAAAGTGACAGAAAAACACATTGGAAAGTGTGGGATGAACAAATGACTAATGGGAAGACAAGTAAATAATCTAGTTACAGATAGGTAGCCGTGTTGGTCTGCCATAGTCAAAACAAAAAAAATTCCTTCCAGATATCTGAAGAAGTGTGCATGCACACGAAAGCTCATACCAAGAACTAACTTAGTTGGTCTTTAAGGTGCTACTGGAAGGAATTTTTTTTGTTTTAAGTAAATAATCTGTAAGCAGAACAAGATAAACTCAGAATGAATGCTCATTGTCATGTAACTTCCCCACAAACAAAGCCGGACAAATACTCAATAAAAGTCAGACCTAGTCTAACCATCACATAAACTTTGTGTAAGGAAATTGGGATTAATTCTGAATGAATGGGCCATTTGGAGAAGCCCCACATCACATATTTCTATTCTATTCTATTCTATTCATTAAAGTAAAAGGTAATGGACCCCTGGATGGTTAAGTCCAGTCAAAGGCGACTATGGGGTTGCAGCACTCATCTCGTTTTCAGGCTGAGGGAGCCGGTGTTTGTCCATAGACAGCTTTCCAGGTCATGTGGCCAGCATGACTAAACTGCTTTTGGCACAACTGAACACCATCACAGAAACCAGAGCGCCCGGAAATGCCGTTTACTTTCCCGCCAGAGCAGTACCTATTTTTCTACTTACACTGGCATGCTTTTGAACTGCTAGGTTGGCAGGAGCTGGGACCGAGCAACAGGAGCTCACCCCGTCATGGGGATTCGAACCACCAACCTTCTGATCGGCAAGCCCAAGAGGCTCAGTGGTTTAGACCACAGCGCCACCTGCACCCAGTATTCTATTAATTATATTAGAAGAGAAAGAGAGGAGAGCTCAAAAGGAGAAGGAGAAGAACTAGAGAAAGGAGACAAAGAACAGTAGATTGCGCATAGGTTTGATAAGTTAACTTATATTACAGAACAGATGACGTTAAAAATACTAAACTGGAATGTGAATGGGTTGAACAATAAAAACAAAAGGAATCAGATTACGCATGTATTATTGAAAAAGAATTATGATTTAATATGTCTCCAAGAGACGCATATAATAAATAAGCATAAGAGACTATTATGTAATAAGAGACTGGGATTAGATTTTGTGACATCAGATAGAGTGAAGAAAAGAGGGGTGGTATTATATATTAAGGAAAAATATGAGCCACAATTATTATATAAAGATGATCAAGGGAGAGTAATCATTGTTCAGATGGTGTCTCAGGGAGAAAAAATAATTGTTGTTGGAATATATGCTCCAAACGATAAAAAATCTGCCTTCTATTCTGAATTAGGAGATAAATTGATGGAATGGATGGATCAAAAAATGATTTTAATGGGTGACTTTAATGGGGTGGTGTCTCCAAATTTAGATAAGTTAACAAAAAAACAAGAGAAGAAGGAAGATAAATTACCGCGATCCTTTTTTGACATGGTAAATAATCTGGGATTAACTGATGCATGGAGACTCAAAAACCCCACTATAAAACAATATACTTTCTTCTCAAACCCAAATCAAAGCTGGGGGCGAATAGATAGCATTTGGATCTCGAAGGAATTAACTCAGAATTTAATTAAATCAGAAATTCTCCCAAGAATTATATCTGACCATAATGCGGTTTACATTGAGCTGAAAGGCAAGGATATTAAAACAACTAGATGGAGAATGAATGAATTTCTATTTAATGATCAGAAGATCGTAAATAAGGCAATAGAGACAATAGAAGATTACTTTAAATGGAATTTAAACGGGGAAACTGCTATAGAGACGGTGTGGG